GTCGGAGTCAAAGCAAATTGCATAGCAGCTGCCGCGACGCGCCGCATAGATTTCTGAAAAATGCCCCACAGGCGCGCGCAACGGTCTCTGGAAGCACGAAGAGACGTAGGAGAATGTTTGGGAGGCAGGGTGGCGGCATTGCTTCCAGATTGAATGGATTCGATATGAGTTCAATTCGAATTTGAAATGAGTTAAGAATGAGGAGAGTAGCCCTCCCCGCCTTAAATCATTCGACATTCAATTTCATTCAGCGAACATCAGACATTCCGAAGATCTGAGATCAAACATGGATTGAGCTCTGGGTTCCGTTCCCCAATTCCAATTTGGATTTCTTCGCTAGGAGAATTACGCATAATAATAATAATAATCAAGAATTCGTTCCACCGAAGAATAAAGAGAATAAGAGCAAGAAGAGCTGCAGCATTGATTTAGTATGTATTAAGAAAATTTGAGTTCGTTTGGAGTCAAGAACAGCCTCATATACACAGTGAAAAAAGCGCAGAAATTTTAGTACTAAAACTTAATATTTCCAAAATGAATGCCAATACTTTTGCTCAGAGTGTGAAAATTGTAAAAAAAAAAAAAAAATTGGTTACCTATTTTTGTACATTGTACATTTTACCATTAATATGAAAATATTTGATTTGAATATATTTCATATCTAAATTAAAAATTTATTTTATGCTACATTGAATGTATTTCATATTTAACTTAAATATTTCCCATACAACTGTAATATATTTATATTTATTTGTAGATGTTTTTCTATTTAGATTAAATATGGCTCGTATTTAAAATGTATTTTAAGATATATTAATATATATTAATATTTAAACAAAATTAAATTCTATTTAATTTCACTCTGTTTGTGTTAAATAGCCGAATATTTAATACATATTTAATTGTGTTTTGTATTACTATTATTACTATCTCAGAGTTTACACTTCTGCCCCCTTACAACGTTGTTCCCAGTTGTTCCCTCCCTCAAATAGTTTTCAAGAGGCGCTGAAGAATGAAAGAAGGATTAGCAATTAGAATTCCGCTTCTCCGGCGGAAATTTGTCGATTGTCTATCGTCTGGGAAAGTACGGCGGAGAGTGGTAGCGCCGGTAGCGGCGCCCCAAGACGTTGTCCAGGCCTGGCCTGGCCTGGGCCTGACCTGGGCCTGTCTTTTATGGCATTTATGTCTCACTTGACAACCAGCTGGACCAGTTGAATACCACAGTGGAGGTGCACACACTCCTGTCTGTCTCGAGGAGTCTCACTTCACCCAAAAGCATCTTTGGCATCTGGTTGCGGTTTGGCTGCTCTGCCTGCCCCCTGTCTGTGCCTGTGGCTGCAACAAGTTTATCTACCAAAACCAGCACTTACATTTGTGTGTGTGCGTGGCATGCGCCTCCTGCCTCACACCCTCCCTCCCTCGACTGATCTCCTCCTCCAACGACAAAAGGCCACTTAAAGCGCGCGCCTCTCGATATCTGTTTTTCCTGCTGCTTCTTTTGTATTTGTGATTATTTCAGTTTATTTCCATATACTTTATGGCTTGGCCTTTTTATCGGCGGTCGAACGGAAACGTTGATGACGATATGCTCTGAAAGAGCATTGAACCCATCGGGGAGGAACCCAAGTCACAGTCACAGTCCCAAGTCACAGCCCCAGTCCCAGATGGATGCTCTCCAATCCCCCAGATGAGAGCATATCAATTGTTTGTATTTGTAAGAACCGAAAAGGAGGCAACTGCAAACTGCAACCAGCACCGACGACAGTCGGGCGGCGGCGCCTTATACGAGAAGTATCACAATCTATAGCCAATCCCCCCGCCACCCCAACTCATTTGCATTGATAATGCATTGATATATGTATGTATGCATGTGTGTGTGTGTGTGTGTTTTGGTTGGCAGGAAACGAAGCAGCAGCAGCAGCACACAGCAGACATGAATCATGAAGCAGCAAGTGAGTGCAGGGCAGGGCAACCAGGACAGGGACAGGACAGGGACAGGGACAGGACAGGACTGGGCTCTGGTTCTGTTTGTTGAAAGCGAAACCCAGTCAACAAGAAAAAGGAGCAACGCCTGTGCGCCCGTGTGACTCAGCCACAGATAGCAGGAGAGGGAGAAATTTGAGGAGAAAAGAGAGCGATAGGAGAACAAACACTTGCAATCGAACAAAGAAATGTGAACTCCATTGTTGCATAAATATAGAAATATAAACATGTAAGGAATACATTTTCATAAGCGGGATATAAATAGTTTGACTTGATAAACGGCATTCCCATATATGTATGTATATACTTATGTATGTATATCGCACCAGACGACACATTACCCCCCCAAATGTAGTACATATGAGGGGAAGCGCTGTGCATAAAGTGCGTTCAAGGACAGAAGACAGCAGCAGCAGACAGCAGCAGATGCAACTGATGACAGATATACAGATATTTACAATATAAATATACATATGTATGTACATATTGCTCGCACATATGATTGTACATATGTGTAAGCAGACATAGTGGAAGAAATGAGAGCCGGATGAACACGGGGGTGTAATGCCACCATACGGTGCCATGTCCTCCTACAGCACTGCACTTACGGAAAAATAAGAAGAAAGAGGAAACGAAAAACGAAACAAGGAACATTTTTGGCTGTAAATCTGGAAGGAATATATATTAAAATAATATACTGCAATATGCGCTGTAGAAAGTTGAACATAATCGAATTCGAATTAAAAATTTACCAATGCGAATATAAACCTCGAAAATCTTTAAAATGTTGACTGAGAGCACTGTTTCTGATACGCTTATTTCCATATTTCAGAACGCTGCATGCTTTTTCTCTCAGTGTACCTGTCTTGAGCAGACGCTGTCGCAGCGAACAATGGCTTCAGCAGCAGGCAGCAGCACAATTTTGCACACACTTTTTGGGGTGGAGGGCGGGTTGCATGGCAGCCAGCGAAGAAGGTGGTGACGACGAGATGGAGCTGTTGGAGGGTGGGTGGAGGTGATTGGGACGGTGCCGGGGAGCGGGGGTTGTCATTGACTGTGTACCTGATTTCCGGCGATGCGCAACGGAAGCATTTCGATTGCCTTGCCCGCCCCCCTCCACACTGCTTTACCGCCTGCCGCATAAGACGAATCACCGAGACCCAAAATGAAAAGAATCAAAAGACAGACAGGGACAGAGAAGAAGACGCTACAACGAGGTAGATAAAGAGACGTGACTCAGTTGCTGTATATGGCTGCATTTTGTATACATATGTATATGTATACGTATCGCTCCCCCTTTTTATATGCATTCCGCTCCTGGCATACTAATTAATACCGCCTGCGTCCGTCCGGCGTTAAATGCAAAATCCTCATTGAAAATTATTGATTTGCCCATTCGATGATGGGGTGGGATAGGGCAGGGCAGGACAGGCCAGGGCAGCAAAGGACAGCGGGAAGAATGGGCGATGAAGCAGAAACACAAACGCACGCAAAACAAAAGGAAAACACCATGGGCCTGGCCTGCATGCCGTCAGTTCTACCCACACCACCGTTTCGAAGACCGAGCAGAGAAGAGATGGCAGACATATTTTCAGACAGATTTAATTGAATTTTCCGTTTGGTAAATTTCGCATAATGCTGCTACTCTCATTTCCCTATTTCCCTGCATGAAGTACAATAATATGCCAAAAATATTTATACTTTTGGCATGATTGTTTGGGTACACAGCAAAAAAGACACAATGGCAGGTTCTTATCTCTGCTTTTTTGGGGGTGGGGGAGCCAGCGGCACCATCGAACCGAATTTTTTTTGTCTATTCAGCATTTACGAGTCTGGCGAGTCTGCTGAACGGCTCTGCTCTCGACCAGAATGAACATTTTGTTACTTGCCAAGTTTCAGATTACATTTACTCTCAATTTGGACCACTGTGCAGCAGCAGCGGTGAAATGCCGGGGCGTCGGCGCTGGCGTCAGCGTCGCTGTCGCAGTTGGGGGACGATTCGCTCTGTTCTGTCTAATAAAGCACACGCCCTGCGCGCATCCAGGGACCGATTGACAGGAATAGCGGATACATACACACACACACACACACAACGCACAGCCGAATTTTGTGTGCATAGAACAAAGAAATGAAAACAGGAGAAAACATAAACAAGAGCAACAACAACAGGCGAAGCCACCGCCGCCGCCTCGAAAGAAAGAAACTTAAGAAGGAAAATAACAGTTAAACAGAGAGATAGAAGAGATGGAGGAGGAGGAGGAGAAGCAGGCATAGATTAAGACAACGGTGGGTCGCGAGACAGAAACGGGCTGGTGGCAAGGTGACTGCGTGTTTATGTCTGTTTATAGTTGGAACTTGAATGATTGAAACGAGTCGAGAGAGCGGGAGAGAGAGCACAGAGAGCGCGCAAGGAGAGTCGGAGGAGAGAGAGACAGAAAGAGATAGAGAGGGAGCCAAAAGGCATTGAATGCCAATGTCAAGGCAATTAGCCAGCCAAAAGCCGGTTGGAAAAATAAGCAGCAGTGAGGAGGCAGTGGCAGAGCCGCCACAAGACAATGCCACAGCAGCAGCAGCAGCAGCAGCTAGCACAAGCTAGACACCAGCACCAGCCGCAGTCGAAACAAGGTGGAGCTTGCCTCTGGGGGAGCCACTAAAGCGTACAAGCAGTAAGCAGAGGGAGGGAGTTTGGAAACCGTAAAGCGAAGCAGGCGCAAAAAGAGGCGCAGAGAAGCAAACCGACAACTGCCATAGATTTTATGACTTGCAAGAGGCACAGAGCAGAGAAGAGCAGAGTAGATCAGGGCGAAGCAGTCCAAGCCACACTGCTTACTGCCTACTCTGCTTACACCTGGAAATGGAGCAGTCTCCGCAAAGCCTCTTGTCTAATTTACACAAGATGTCGACAGGGTGGAGCGGTGTGGAGTGTGGTGGGAGGGGAGGGGCACGACTGAGAGAGCGAGAGAGTAGTTTTGGCCATCTTTGGGCATGGTCCGCTGCTGAAAAGGAATTCCACTTACTTTCTATGTGGCTCCTGGCTGGTCTCCTCCTGGCTGTTGATCTGATGATCTTGATTCCGGCTTAATTACCGATTCGCTTGATTCGATTATCCTTGGGTTAAAGAACCGGCGCCGCGCGACCTTTTCTATATTTTGCACTCTCTTTGTCGTTTCTCTTTTTCGGCTGCTTTTTGCCGGTCTGCTTGCCCGTGTGTGTGTGTGTGTCTTTTCGTGCGTTCCTGCGTTTGTCTCTGTCTGTCCACACCCTTCTTCTTATTTATTCACTTCCAGGCAGTTGTCTCCACGAATCCGTGAGCTCACACTCGCACAATACAAAAAATCAAGAAAAAAAAACGTAAACAAATCACAGGCAGCGTTTAATTCTTAATTTGCTTTTTCTTCGCAGGGACAGAATTGCCGATGCTGCGTATGGAAGTGTCTGCGCGTTTGTGTACGTGTGTAGTGGTGGTATGGCAGAAGGATTTTTCACGATTTCAAATTGGCTGAGAGAGACGCATGCGCGCAACACAATGGAAGCTCCGTGTTGGAAAAGAACCGCTCACGACTTACTTTGAACTTGAAATGAAACCCGTTGCGAGCCAGTCCATGCTATTTGTAGTGGCCCACCAGTGCTGGCAGTGATGCGGTTTCCCGCCAGATTGCGTTCTCTTTTTCAGAAAACCGATGGACTGGAAATAGCCAATAAATATTGTAGCCACAACTCCATTTTGTTACACATATTTTGTTCATCACTTTGTTTTGTTCATTCCATTAGATTTGACATGAACTGGTAGGTTGCTTTCTAATAGCACTTCACGAACTTTTTTCTTAGAATAATCTTCCTCCGCTCCACTTTTATAAGATAGGACTGTCTAAAAAGAGATGGAAGTGCACTGATGCTGATAAACCATAAATTCTAGCTTAATAAAATTTGAAATTTCCCGCTGTTTTTACTTATTTTCCGTCATATGACTGTGAAAAAAGCTAGACCATAAGGGAAAAAATCTAACTTGGCAACACTTGTCGCTTGGCTTATCTGGTAGCAGAGTGCAGCGGCAGAATTGTAAATCTGGCAGATTTCAATAGCCAGGCCAGCAATAGCAACAATGCGCATCACAGGGTCGAGAGAGAGAGAGTAACAGAGACAAAGAAACAGAGAGAGCAGCTTTAACCTTAACATGCCACTGCTAAAGAACAGTGCAAAGCGACTGTTAACTTTCGCGCGAGATTTGAAATCGTAACGGTGCATGGACAAAGGAAATGTGCATAACTTAAGTGCATTGCTTTTATATTTTATATTTAATTGCTGGCCGTATCGGGACTTAGAAGGGGGTGGCCGGATGGTGTGCTGGCCACCCAAACGACGCGTCTTTGTCGCCACGCAGCTTGGTTTACAGCTAATGCAACGACTGAGGCGAGGCATGCCTTGGGTCCTGCATGCTCTGATAACTCTTGGATGCACTTGGCATTAGCGCCGCTGCTGCTTTTTATTGGATGTTGCACGTTATTTTCGGACCTCAACCTCTCAACCATCTGAGCGGAATGGTCTGGTGGTCCACAGTCTCGGATTTCACCGTCACTTCAATTGGGAAGGGAGGTGTACCAAATCCTTAAATCAACAGACATAAATATTTATAAGGCGCGCATATTCGTCTTTGTCTCTCGCTCTATGTCTTCTATCTGATGGGGGTAGTGGGTAGTGGGGGCAGCTGCATGCTTATTTTACAGTTGTTAATCACTGAATATTACCGCCGGCTTGCCTTTTTTTTCCAGCTACTCTTCACGGCTCCTTGGCTCTGTGCAATTTTAAGCAAAGTTAATTACGCGCCACAGATTAATGTTCGCCCACATACCATACTGCGCGCTGACGATTTTCAAAATAATAACAGATGGCGCCCACTTTGAACGAGCGATTTGAAGTGTCACCAGACTGCAGTGCCGCATGCGACATTCAAACACCGAACAGCTGGCGCCAAAGAATATCGATAGAACTTTCGCTAGGCCGCTATCGGTATCGAGTGCAGACAAATTGTTTTTAAAGAATTGGGAAAAACGTTGGGAAATACAGAATTTTCAAATATATTTGAAGTCTAACCTAAAGCAGAACCCTTAAGTAGCAGTCGGAGCCATTAAAGCGGGCTAACTCTTTTCGAACACCAACAACAGAGGCAACCAGAATTAGGAAACAAAAATAGCTGCATTTTTAATTAAATTTAGAGGGTATGATTGAATTTTATGATCATCGAACATTCGATGAACAACGCAGGTTGGGAACATCCAGGGAAGACTCTATTGGAATAAGACGAAACAGGCATGCATTCCCATATAATGTTTTAAGACTTTTACCATTTTTTGTATTTTGAACCATAGTTGTCATTGTTATTTCAAAACTCGTTCCTGCTTATCGCACGATAGTACCGATATACCCTGTGCATCGATATGTAGAATCCAAAGTCGTGTGAAACAACAGAAAAGTAGTGTCGAACTGCTGGGAAATATTAAAATTAGTTCCGTCGATGATAATGTGCCACAAAAAATCTCATTTCATAGTTTCGCTAGTCAAAAAATATATCATCGAATAATATATTATCAAAATAATAGTTATATCGATTCATCGATATATCAATGCCCCATTAGAACCAATAACAACATTTTTAGAGGCAGCATTTGGCTTTTTTAGTTTATAGTAGTTAATGGTGAAAATTCTCGTCTAGTTTAACTCCGAAAATTAAAGAGACTGCCCCCACAACCCAGAAGTCTGCACATAGCGAGTTATAGGGACGTGCGTTTTCCATTAAAATATATAACGCGAAAGTCCAAGTGGAAACAGAAACAACCAATTTCCCCGTATGATTTTCGATTCTCGTAACAAAACGGAATTTCTTATTGGTGTGGGTGACGCAGTGTATGAGTGTGTGTGGTGTGTGGTGCGTGAAAAAGCAAGGCGAGAGGCGCGTGCATTACAATAATTGCACAAACAACAACAAATCAACTAAATAGAGTGAGGGGGGGTGGCCGTGGCTTTCTTCGTCGTCGTCGTGGAAGTGGAAGGGAGAGCAGCAGGAACAACAAAACGCCGAGATTTGTTCCGTTCACCCCCCAAATCAGCCTCCCCCGCGCCTTACCCACTAACTGTTGTTGTTTGTGTGGCAGGGGTGTTGTTGGAGCATTGAATATTTCCGCGTTCACAATAGGAAACCAAGAATACGGTTATACTATGAACAAGTGGAAAGACTAGACAAACAACAGGAATAAAAATCGAATAGCTGTAAGCGAGGCCGCGGCCAGAACCAATCGAAGAACTGGCCTGGCCAGGACGCACGCACACACACACACCTTACACTCACACATAAATACCGACGCCGGCAGAAATGGATGTCCTGGAACTGTTGCGTTCGAGTGGCTCAAATATGTACAACATATTCTTATCGGATCCCTGGTGCCACTACGTCTCCACACAACTCACAGAAACGGTAAGTAAGTGCTCTCTCTCTCTCTGTCTTTCTTCTTTGTTTGGCCCCTCCACTCCAAATGGAGTGTATGTGTGCTGAAGAAATACACATATGGATATGGATAGTTGAATAGGGGAATTGCAGAGGGGGCTGAGTAAACGATCGCGCGCGCAATATTAAGCAGCTGCAGCTGGTTCGTGTCTGGGCTTATGATAAGCATACACAAAGATGGCAAAATCGAGAGAGAACGCTCTCTCTCTATCTGTGAAAGAACAGTAAACATGTGTGGGTGCATTTTGATCTTGCTTCCTGTTTCTTCTATTTCCCCTCTCTTTTCAAGGCACTTCCCTGTTCAGCTGGCTCTTTTCACGATTGGAATAGGGGTTTTAGCTGCTCGACTTACATAAAGCCCTGAATATGATAGCCAGAACCCGCAATGATTATGATAATGATAATACCAATCTGACCCCGAAGACGTCGTCGTCTCGCTGATTACGTCTCAATGGTGGTGGTGGTGCTGGTGCGGGTTCGGATGTGGTGTACACATGTGTGTGTGTAGAGTTTTGCCTTTTGCCTAATCAGAAGCACGTGCAGTGGGGCGGGGGCGCGCGGCAGCAGCCAAATCAGTTTTCAATAGTTCAATTAACCCCTTGGGGCCGAATCAATTTAGTCGCCTCGTGACCATAAAGCTAGCCATGGGGCGGTGCTAGATGTGGGAAAAGTCAGCGGTAACTCTTGTTGCCATGCCAGCCAATCAATCTAATCCAATCGAATCCAATCCAAACTAATGCGACTTTCCATTCAGTTCTGGTAAATGCAGTCTAACAAAGCAGACGGCCCGCCGGCCCCATTAGATCTGCATGCGATACCATCAGTTAAATATTTCATTGGGAATTCCAGCAGTCCAGCTCGATCCAAATGCAATCTAATCCAATTCCAATAGTCCCATTTGCGATCGCAAGTCCAGCGCCAATCGAATGCCATCCACAACTTTCCAACGCGAGACTCATCCACTCCAATTGCAGTAATCCAATGGGATACTCAATCCAGTTCCCCCCCCGTATTGCAATCTTAAACATTCCAGCAAGAATATTCCAATTGGAATAGACAAGAAACCTGCTGTGCTGTCGGAATAAGCTTTAAGATTAAACAAACAAAAAAAAAAAAACAGTCGCCAGCAGTCATACTCCACGCCATGAAATAATTACAGCAACGGCTACTATTACCGTTTAATCAAACATGCTCTCTCGTATTTCATATGAATAAATCATGCATATGTACATAGTATAGTACATAGCGTACTATTTACTTGATGTATAAAAAATGCGGAAACGGTAGACAGTAAAAAGAAAAAGAGAGCAAAGCAGAAAGCAACCAAAACAAGTGTCAGCAGGCCAGCCAGCAGGCAGGCGACGCTACGTTCAATGTCAAAAATTCAATTACAATCAAAGCAACAAGAAATAAAACCAGACAACAGAGAACAGACAAAAGACAACAACAATTGCGGCGGCACACAAACGAAAAGAGCAAGAAAAATAGAAACTTAGAGCAAATTCAAGCAGTAAAAAGGTAGCGCAGGAGCTCTCTCTCCACTCTTCTCTCTCTCTCTTTCCTTCTATTGTGCCTAGTGAAACTATACAAGGTGGTGTATTCCCTCTCTCTTTCGGGACTTGTTCATCACTCACACACACACACCATGTAATCGCAGCGAAGTTTTCTGTTGTACGAGCAGAAAAAAGGCCCGAAAAGAGAGCGTGTTGCGGGAATGGGGAATACACCACCTTACATAGTTACACCATTATTGTTCCCACCTATTGCCAAGCGGCTATTACAACAAAGTAGGAGAATTCACTCTGGGCATGCATCACCTTATATTTATAGACCCCCCTTGGACCCACAGATGACAAGCTAAAACAGAAAACAGCTGTGCAGTTTCTTGGCTCCTTGGTTCCTAGTTCTGAATCGGAACTAGTTCGTAGACGTGACACCGACAACTCGCTTTAAACTCGCCGCAAAAGCCCGAAAGTTTTCGAAACACAAATAAAAAAGAAACAACTGTCAATATACAATTGCTACTCCCCTGCTGCACTGATTCATATTTGATAAAATACAAGCAATTATCGTGAATCGTAAAAGCTCGCAGAGCAGAGCGCTGAAAATAAAAAATTCAATAAGGAAGAAATAAATACCTTCTGGTATTGGTTTGGTTTGAAATGGAATGGAATACCAGCATTGGATTCATGAAATCCCATCTTTGGATTATTTCGGAACAGGTATCTTTTCCGACTGCCGATTACAAGAGCTACAAGCTAAAAGACTCCCGCGGGAGTCCTTTCCCACACGAATAATTTAATGCAAATTGATTTAGAATCCCCCCATCTGATTGCAGTATCCTTTTTCTGTTCCTTATTTTTATTACAGATGTACCTGTACTGCGCCCTAGGCATGCTCAGCCTGCTGTTCATCGCCTGGTTCGTGTATTTCAAGCGTCTGGCACGATTGCGAACTGCGCCACGAGATCGCCCGCTCGCTGAGCGTGGTCACCCTGTCGCCGGGCGGGGATCTGCGCGGACCACGCTTTCGCAAGCGCGACAAGATGCTCTTCTACGGCAGACGCATGCTGCGCAAGATGAAGAACGTCAGCGGCCAGATGTACAGCAGCGGCAAGGGCTACAAGCGACGAGCGGTGATGCGTTTCGCCCGCCGCATCCTTCAGTTGCGTCGCGACAACATGCCGCTGGAGGTACGCACCGTTGAGCCGCCGGCGGAGTATCTGGAGGAAACTATGGAGGGCAGCGATCGAGTGCCCCCCGACGCCCTCTATATGCTTCAGAGCATCCGCATCTTTGGGCACTTCGAGAAGCCCATCTTCCTGCGTTTGTGCAAGCACACCCATCTGCTGGAGCTGATGGCCGGCGACTATCTGTTCAAGATCACCGACCCGGACGACAGCGTCTACATCGTCCAGTCGGGCATGATCAATGTGTACATCATGAATGCGGACGGTAGCACGCTCTCCCTCAAGACGGTCCGCAAGGGCGAGTCGGTGACATCGCTGCTCAGCTTCGTCGATGTGCTGTCCGGCAATCCCAGCTACTACAAGACGGTCACGGCCAAGGCAATGGAACAATCGGTGGTCATTCGACTGCCCATGGCGGTAAGACAGTGAATCATACCCGCCCCCATACACCATGCCCCAATAACCGTATACCCCTCCACTCGCTTTGCAGGCCTTCCAGGAGGTGTTCCATGACAGTCCGGATGTGATGATCCGTGTGATTCAGGTGATTATGATACGACTGCAGCGCGTTCTGTTTACGGCACTGCGCAACTACCTCGGCCTCAATGCGGAGCTCGTCCAGAACCACATGCGCTTCAAGGGCAGCAGCAGTCAGGCGCCCACCGGCTGCTGTTCGCAAACATCGCGACAGGCCACCGCCGGCGCATCAGCGTCGGCAACGGCAGCGGCCGCATCAGTCGTCGGTACAGCCATTAATACGGCGGTGCCAAGGCCAAGCAGCTCCCTGTCGCGTCACTCACAGGACGAGCAGCACACGCTCTCCGATCCGAATCCGGGCATACCAAACCTGGAGCTGGCCAGCGACACTGTGAACACACTGTTCGGCGATGTGAATGGCGGCGGCTTTAGGCTGAATAGCGAACGGTTGTACCATCAGCGGGAATCGGACGGTAATCTGGCCAATCGTCACGGCTCCACGGCGCACCTGGACAACCCCGAGGTGGGCCCAGTGCCGTCCATAGACATGCGCCTGGTCAAATCGTCGGCGGTGGAGAGTCTGCGCAAGGAGCTTGGCCTGCCCGAGCAGGATGCCCACATCATAGATCCGTTTGTGGAGGTGCGTGAAATGGAAGCGAATGTGACCCTCATCACCGAGGGCAATGCGGACGATGTGTGCGTGTGGTATGTGATGACCGGCACACTGTCCGTCTACCAGGCCAATGCGGATGCCACGCGCGTCAAGCAGGACAAAACGGACATGCTCATCCACTATGTGCATCCCGGGGAGATAGTCGGCGGCCTGGCCATGCTCACGGGGGAGGCCAGTGCGTATACGATTCGTTCGCGGAATAACAGTCGCGTGGCATTCATCAGACGTGCCGCCATATACCAGTAAGACACGATACATCCTCTCTGCTATCACATCCAGCTTGTTCACACGTCCCGTCCAAACTTCTTGCAGGATCATGCGACTGCGTCCGCGCATTGTGCTGGACCTGGGCAATGGGGTGGTGCGGCGTCTGTCGCCGCTGGTACGCCAATGTGACTATGCCCTGGACTGGATATTTCTGGAGTCCGGCCGAGCCTTGTACCGACAGGACGAGAGCAGCGACAGCACCTATATCGTGCTCAGCGGCCGCATGCGCTCTGTGATCACACATCCCGGCGGCAAGAAGGAGATCGCCGGCGAGTACGGCAAGGGCGATCTTGTGGGCATCGTTGAGATGATCACTGAGACGTCGCGCACCACCACAGTGATGGCGGTGCGCGACTCGGAACTGGCCAAGTTGCCGGAAGGTCTCTTCAATGCCATCAAGCTGCGCTACCCGATTGTGGTTACCAAGCTGATCAGCTTCCTTAGCCATCGCTTTCTCGGCTCGATGCAGGCGCGTCCCACTGGGGCACCGGGGGCGCCCGTCGAGGCCAATCCCGTCACGCACAAATACTCTACGGTGGCCCTGGTGCCCATCACAGACGATGTGCCGCTCACACCATTCACCTACGAGCTCTACCACTCGCTCTGTGCCATCGGTGGGTCATCATTTTGTGCTCTCTCTATTGATCCATGTGCTTTCTATCACTCTCTCTCTCGTGTGGCAGGTCCTGTCCTGCGTCTGACCTCGGACTTGGCGCGCAAGCAGCTCGGCTCGAACATATTTGAGGCTGCGAACGAGTACCGGCTGACCTCGTGGCTGGCACAGCAGGAGGACCGCAACATAATTACACTCTATCAGTGTGATAATGCGCTGAGTCCCTGGACGCAGCGTTGCATGCGACAAGCGGATGTCGTACTGATTGTGGGCCTGGGCGATCACACGCATGCGGTGGGTAAATTTGAGCGCGAGATCGATCGCCTGGCGCTGCGCACCCAGAAGGAACTGGTCCTTCTCTACTCGGAGACGACGTCCTCCAAGCCGGCCAACACGCTAAGCTGGCTGAACGCGCGTCCGTGGGTGACCAAGCACCATCATGTGCTGTGTGTGAAGCGCATTTTCACACGCAAAAGCCAATACCGCATTGTGAGTTGGAAGCGCAGATCTATATCGATATAGATATAGATTTAGTATTGGGCTGACCTGCTCCCTCTTCTTCCCACTACTTTCAGAATGATCTCTACAGTCGTGTGCTGCTGTCCGAACCAAATATGCATTCCGATTTCTCGCGCCTGGCCCGCTGGTTGACGGGCAATTCGATTGGTCTGGTATTGGGCGGCGGTGGGGCACGTGGCGCTGCCCATATTGGTATGCTGAAGGCCATCCAGGAGGCGGGCATACCCATCGACATGGTCGGCGGCGTCAGTATTGGTGCGCTAATGGGGGCACTGTGGTGCTCAGAGCGCAACATTACCACGGTCACCCAGAAGGCGCGCGAGTGGTCGAAGGTAATGCACTCCCACACTATTCCCTCCTCCACTCCACACAACTGAATCAACATATGTACATGTGTGCTTTGTGTGTGAATATTGCAGAAAATGACCAAATGGTTCCTACAACTCTTGGATCTAACCTATCCGATCACATCGATGTTCTCCGGCAAGGAGTTCAACAAGACCATCCATGATACCTTCGGCGATGTGAATATCGAGGATCTGTGGATACCCTACTTCACGCTGACGACGGATATCACCGCCAGTTGCCATCGCATCCACACCAACGGTGAGTGGGGCCAGGAACAGAGACAAGCGGAGTGCTCCGTCTCTGTCTCTCATGCTCTCTCGCTCCTTGTTGCTAGTCCTACTTCTACGCTTACTTTTACTTCTCCTTCTGCTTAAATTGCTTTTATTTGTTGCTTGTTTTTTTTTTTTGGTATTCATTTGGCTTTTTGTGCATTTTCTGTGTTGTTGTTTGATTGCTTTTCCTTCTTAGCTGATTGTGCTCTCTCTCTCTCTCTCTCTCTGTCTGTCTCACTCTATCCTATGTAGTCTTAGAGTGCCCAAGGTATACGAATATAAGGTAGGGCCATGCTTACCTTGCCGTATGTTCGTATACCTTTGCTTAGAACTGAAAGAAGTGCCAAAAGTGCCACCCACGCACCCACACACCCACACACCCACACTCTCACAACCAAGCAAACACACACACACACACACGTACTCTGCCTCATTAATGGCCACCCCCTACCGCAAGTTAGAGGCTATCCCCTCCACCCTGCAGCCCCCCCATTCTGTTTGCCATTCTGCGGTGTACCTCGCCATCGTTTGTAGACAGAGGCCAAAGGGCATCCATCATACCATTTTAACATTTGTTATTGTTGTTGTTGTTGTTATTGTTGTTGTTGTAAATGCTGATACTCTTGTTGGTATTTTCTTGTTGTCCGCCATATTCTGTGTGCCTAGGGTGACCAGTTGCAAAAGCTAAGTTTAATGCAAAATTAGCAGCTTCTATTGGTAGTCTGCTGCTCCTTCCTGCCAGTTCCACGCTCCACTCCAAAAATTAGTTCCATTCCATCTACTCATTGCCCCCATATCATCAATACAATTCTAAAAAAAAAAAAAAATCTCTCAACGCTGTTTCTTTCTCTCTCTCCCTCTATTTTTGTTCTCTTCCCACACACTGAAACACTCGACACACGCACACTCATATTAAATTTCATTGCTGGCATGCCGTTAATCAACAACAAACAAAAATACTACCTTCTTTGCCTCCACCAAACAACCAACAACCACCAACCGACCAATCAACAAACCAAACAAACAAACCAACCAAACAATCAACCAATCAATCAAACTGCAGGATCTCTTTGGCGCTATGTACGCTCCTCCATGTCGCTTAGCGGCTACATGCCGCCCCTCTGCGACCCAAAAGATGGGCACCTTCTACTGGATGGCGGCTATGTAAATAACTTGCCAGGTAAATAGCAATTAGTATGCAATTTTAACTCAAAACCAACAAAACAAACAAAAATTCCAAAACTAAACTAAAATAATTGTAAATACATAACGAATCGTTAATCTATTCTTTTTTAAATCTCAATCACAATTTAGAGCGTGCGCAGAGTGTTGGATATACATACATACATACATGTGTACATATGTACCCCCTTGCCCTACCTACCTACCTAAGCTTTGTTCATGTCCACACCCCCCCACCTCTGATATCTGATTTATGTACATCTATGATATGTCCCCCAACCCCGAGCTGATGTTGTTCTTGTGTGTTTTTTTTTTGTTTTTTGTTTTTTTCTTGCAATGTTTTTGGCAGGATTGTGCAGGCAGCCCTTCTATCCCATGACTGTTCTCCTATTCCCTGCGCAGTGTGCTTAATATAACGGTGAATGCGCAGCACCACTGTCTGTCCCTGTCACTCTCATAACACAACATACGAATACAAACACACCTCACCTACACCCACACAGACACACACACCCACACTGAAATGCAGAGCTGAGTGCGCACAAAAGTTCTTTCTATTTTCTCTTACTTCTGTTTGCGTTGGTTAAATATGTACAAAAACAAAACAAAAAACAAGTTTAATTTTGATTTGTGGTATGCGTAAAGAATCTTAGTTTTCAATTAATTCTTGGCGACTCTTTTCATTTGTAGTTAGATCACAAAGTGTGAACATTTTTGTAAATCTGCAACGGCGGCAATTAAATATCCTGTCTATCTTTTTCTCTCTCTCTCTCTTTCTCTTTCAACCCACAAACCCACACACCCATACCGAAACACACACACACAAATGTCACCACCTGCGTCCGTGTCCAACACACAACACAAAACATCCATGCCACCCACCCAATGTGCCTGCCCGCCACTGTATTGTGCGTGTTTGTGTGTGTGTGTGTGTGTCCGGTGTGTCCGTTCATTTGTTCGTTGTACGGCCTGGCCTGTACGGCAGGTCACCTGTGGCGCTATTGTCGCGCCAGTATGTCCATCGCTGGTGTCTTTCCGCCATTCTGTGACTATCGCGACGGTCATCTGCTCCTCGATGGCTGCTACACAAATAATGTGCCAGGTAAACCAGCAAACCATATACATATATGTATGTACGTATGTATGTATGTATGTATGTGTACAACACTCTGCGCCCTCTCCATTGATTCAGATTCAGATCTTATAGATGAGAGTCGTCCAGTGAGCCTGCCTGCCAGTCTCGAGCATCTTGAGTGTACAACCGCTCGAGATTCTCGAATGCCAATGGCTAGGCCTACCATATAACGCTAGTGAATCATTATAAAGACTAACCAATACATTTCCATACCCACACACAACACACAACGCACACACACAACGCACTTGCATTTCTTTTTATTGGCCGTCGCCGCCGCTGCCGCCTCTGTTAGCTGATGTAATGCACAATCTGGGCGCCGCTCACATAATCGCCATCGATGTGGGCTCCCAGGATGATACTGATCTGACCAACTACGGGGACGATCTGAGCGGCTGGTGGCTGCTCTACAAGAAGTGGAATCCGTTTACCTCGCCCGTCAAGGTGCCCGATCTGCCCGACATTCAGTCACGGCTTGCCTACGTCTCGTGCGTGCGACAATTGGAGGTGGGTCCCCCCGCCGGTGCCGGCTTCAAAGCTCTATGTATTTATTTATATATTTATTTGTGTTTTCAGGAGGTTAAGAACTCGGATTACTGTGAATACATTCGGCCGCCCATCGACAAGTACAAGACCCTGGCATTTGGCAGCTTCGACGAGATCCGCGACGTGGGCTATGTGTTCGGCAAGAACTACTTTGAGGCCATGGCCAAGGCGGGTCGATTGGGCAGATTCAATCAGTGGTTCAACAAGGAGCCGCCCAAGCGCAGCAACCACGCCTCGCTCAACGAGTACACCTTCATCGATTTGGCACAGATCGTGTGCCGGCTGCCGGAGACCTATGGCGTGAATGCGCCGGATCTATTCAGCGAAGACGAAGACTGTGATGGCTACATATCGGAGCCAACAACACTGAACACGGTAGGCAGGCAGGCAGGAGGCCGCTCTAAATATATATATATATATATGCAAATAATTCTCTCTCCCTATTCCTATTCTACCCTTCTGATATAGGATATGCGACGCTATCAGGTACCGCGTGCCGGCAACTCGTTGTCATTTTCTGAGACTGAAATGGACATGGACTCGGATGTGGAGATCGATTTGAAAATGGATCGCAAAATGGACAAGTCGACACAGTTCACACCGCCACAGCAGAGCAAAGCGCATATGCTGCGGCGAAAGCATTCAAAGGAGGAGGCCCGACACGAGTGGGAGATAAAGCGCGAGCAGAAACAGGAGTTGGCGCGCGAGCAGGATCTGGAGCGGGAAAAGGAACACAATCAGAAGGGTCGACTGGTCGAGATGGATGGCGATGGCGAGGTGGCGACTGGCGTCACCACACAGACCTCGCTGATATACACAGAGGACGAGGAAGAAATGGACGCGACAAGGATTCAAGCCAATGAAATGGCTGTGGATAGTGCAGACGACGAAGGAAAGGAGCTGGAAAAGAAGAACAAAAGCGAGGCGAATAACGAAACCAAAAACTAGCTATAGAAACAACAAACACACCACAATCAAGGCCATGTTCAATCAGCAATCAGCAAATCGCCTCCACAAGCAGCTGAACACCAACCAACCCAATCAATCTCCAACGAAAAACCAACTATCAAAAAAACAAATCGCTTAGACAAGGAATTCGTTAACATCTAGGTTTTATAGCAACCAAGACATAGGCTTAGCTTAGCGTACGTGTGCACCCCGTCCTTCCGTATCAGAAACAGAACTGCAGTCCCGTGTCCTATCCCAGTCCCAATCCCCATCCCATCACGTCCCTTCCACACACTCCCCCCATGATTAAAGCCATTTCAATGGAGGTGGCACAACAGGTCCACAATCTTTGTATGTACATATAGATATATATATATATATATATATAGAAATATTTTTACTGAGGCAAAGAGCCCGCTTGTTAACCATTGCGCGGAGTGGCGTATGAAGCTGAAGCTGTAGCTGTAGCTGATCCCGATTCGAAAACGAATACGAATCCGGATCCCTGTCAATTCAATACACCGTCACGATATAGAGCCGCACACACACACACACACAAACACACACACAACACACACACTTATTGCCTCTTTATTATTTTTCTATCAACAAAAAATGTATTTGATATTAGGATGTTTGTAAATTGCAAGCGAATAAATTTGAAGAAAAACAAAGTACAATGCCAATGCCATCAACAAGTCGTCGTCTGTTATTTGGGATTGTGTTGCGGCGCCGTCGTTGTTTGCCGTTTCTCGCACCCCCACCCCCCCTCCCTCGATATGGCAGGCCTCATCTTTCAAAGACAAACAAACCACAGCCAAAGGGGGCCCAAGTGCCTGGCTCAGTTGCTGGCTTGACTCAGTTGCTGATTAAGTCTCGCCCCTAGAGCTAGAGTATATCTGAAGCTGGAACCGATTACTGCTGAAGTCTTATAAAAAAAAAGCAAAGGGGGAGATAGAGCCGAGTCCAGTCCAGAAGAGGTAAGTATGGCAGTTCGATCTGAATTTATTTGTGGCCTAAAGAAAGTGCTTGGCGGCGTAAAGGTGCCGCAACAGGTGAAGCGATATGGTGATGCAAATTCACAAGAGTATTTCATCCAGCAGCTCCGCCATGAAGCGCGTATCCAAAACAAGATGCTTCGTCACATGCATCGCAGAGAGTGACTGTGGCTGTGGCTGTGCCTGGGCCTGTGCTTGTGCCAGTGCCTGGGCGCACTTGTGGGGGTGGTGGCAAGTGCGCGACAGGAAATATACGAAGTCATTCGGGTTTGGAGGCTCTGCTTTCGCTCTCCTGCGTGATGATGCTGCCTGTTGGTTCTGTGGCTGTGACTGTGCCTGTGCCTGTGTTTGTGACTTTGTGAATGTTGCTTTTGCTGCTGCTGCTGGTGCTGGTGCTGCTGCAGCAGGTGCTCGCTCGGTTGATGTGAGCGTGTCGTCGTCATCGGCAGAGAGTGCATGGGCAACTGGTGGCCCACGACAAGCAGTTCGAGGGGCGGCATCTCTCCTGTATACCGATTACAGCTATGCTTGAGCTTTCGTGCGCGCGCACGTTTCGGGCCCGATGATGGTGGCTGAGGTGCAGGCGCTCCCATCCTCTCGCGTGCATCGGCAACACCGAATGACGTCAAGCAGGGCCAGTCGTCGGCTTGGCAGTGTCTGTTCTTGTCATTGCAAAGCAGTTCCCCGGAGCGTTTGCCCGTCAGATGCTGCAGCCGTTTGCGGATCCGCTGCCTCTCGACGAGGTTGCGCTGACAAGCCTCCTGCAGGCGCCACATTGTGCTGGGATCCATTCACAAAATATTGTGTGTTATATTTTGCACCCGTTCGAATTTACAAAAGTTTCCAAAGTTGCCAGAAATGTATTGTTTAATTCCGCCGGCACTATATCGTTATCGACACACATAGTTATCGTCGTACCCAAACGTTACATTAACGTTATATCAAATTGACAGTTCCAGATATATCTGACATTTAAAATTACCTGGAAGTGTGCAAGTGCCACAATCGTGCCACTTGCAGATGACGCCGTAGAGCGCAGGAGTCGAGCGGAGTATCAGAGAAACCTTGAAAAAATCTTCAGCCCCCCAAAACCACCCCACCCCACACGACCCGCCACCCCTTTCCTACACCAGCACGCTGAAAGTACACAAAAGTGCAAGCGGAGCCACCAGTTTTGTGGTGTGATCAAGTCGGTGGCGTGATAATCCCCAACTGTGCGCATTTTAAGGATTACAATTGGTTTCTTGCACTCGCAAAATATGTCCAAAAAAAACGTTAGAGGCAAAATTATTGGCTCCCGTTTTTTGAGGCACCATCCAGGTAATCCTTTTACGTCTTTTCGCACAAATTTGAAGACAACCTCACACACACACGCATACGCGCACGCACGCACGAACGCAGGCACGCAGCCACACGCAATCGCACACACACACACACATATACGTACATACGTGTGTGCAAAAAATGTGAAATAAAAAAGTATTTTAATTTTTTCTTATTGAATTTCATACGTGGCAGATCTTGATCTGGACCCGCAACTGGCCATCATAATACCCGGATCGACCCACGAGATGAACTCGCTGATCCGCTGCCAGCACATGCACAAGCTCATGCACACAATGAACAACCTGACAAACGCCAAGCTGAGGTATGTCCCGAATCTGAATCGATTTGCGGTGCCGCACGGCTCCGAGCGTCTGGTGCTGATCAAGCTGTCCGCGCAGCATCATCCCCACAATCCCGATGCCGCCAAATTGATGAAGGAGGAGGATGCTTGCATCTGCTTTGAGCTGCCGGTGGATCGCTTTCCGGTGCACGCGCCCATCGGCAGGATAATGTTCCTGTCGCCGAAGCTACTGCCGAAGGGCATCAGTGTGGGCGGTGTTTTCGGACCCGGTGTACTGCCGCACAAGTTCTATCCCATCGGTATGCTGTCGTCGCAGCATAAGGGACCGACACCCCCGCTGTTTGTCGGCCGTCGCGTGCTCAAGGAGATAATGCGGGGTCTGGCAACGGAGCTCATCACGCCGCTCTCCGCCACCATTGGCAAGTCGTCGGCTGAGGCGCAGCTGCGCCTATCCAGCTGCAACGTGGCGTTGGGCTTTGTTGGGGCCGATCCAAACACAATAACCATCATGAAGAGATATCTCGACAATCCGCTACCGACGCAGTACAACATTTACGTCCCGGACCTGACCAACATGAGGGTGGTAATGGCCACTGAAGCTGATGCCCTGATGCCATATGCCATGACGGTGATCTCGACGGTGGTTCAGCCACACGTCCCGTCGGTATCCATGGCCACCATGAACTCTCCAGGCCCCAAATTCAAGTTGCCCGAGGAGCTCTTTCCGCCAAAAATCATCGCCAGAGAGCCTGTGTTTCTGCCCACCCGTTTTCTGCCCAAGAACTTCGAGGTCGGCTGTGTGTTTGCACCTGGCGCACTACCATACACTTGGTTCCACGGGCTACTGGTGCCCGATAAGGCACCGCTTCAGCACAGCCCCATGATGTCGCCGCCCCTGTTCTTCGGACGCTGGAAGGCCAAGCAGCAAAAGCTCAGCGGCGGTGGGAATTTGCCGCCACGTCAATCGGTTCCATTGCTCTCGAATCTACTAGCATCGAAGCTTTCGGTCTCGAATCTACCAGCATCGACATTTTCGGCCTCATACACTTCGGTCACGAATCCTTTCGCCTCGAAGCCTTCGATCTCGAATCCTTCGGCCTCGAGCCTTCGATTCCGACTCCTCGGTTTCGCAGCCTTCGATTCCGACTCCTTCGGTCTCGAGCCTTCGATTTCGAATCCTTTGGCCTCGAAGCCTTCGACTCGAATGCTTCGGCCTCGCAGCCTTCGATTCCGACTCCTTGGTTTCGCAGCCTTCGATTTCGAATCCTTCTCGCAGCCTTCGATTTCGAATCCTTCGGTCTAATCCACGGTATCGAATCCTTCGGTTTCGCAGCCTTCGATTCCGACTCCTTCGGTCTCGCAGCCTTCGATTTCGAATCCTTCGGTCTCGAAGACTTCGATCTCGATTCCATCAGTCTCGCAGCCTTGGTACCAAGCCTTTAGTCGAGCCTTCGATCTCGAATCCTTTGGCCTCGAAGCCCTCGATCTCGAAGCCTTCGATCTCGAATCCATCAGTCTCGAATCCATCGATGTGGAATCCTTCGCCCTTGAATCCTCCGGTCACGCATCCTTCAGTCTGGGATATATCAGTTTCAATGCCTCCGAGCAGCGGCGCCACAGAGAAGGAGTTGATGAGTCTAATCTTCAGTTTGTATGGCAGCGAGAAGGAAATTGAGGTGGGTGCGAAGGCGTGGCGCCGCCTGACACTGGAACTATTGCGTCGAGGAACTGTGTCGGCTGGCCTCAATGTGGACCTGGCCGTCGATCAGTATCGTGCCATGATGCGCAAACGTGCGGCCATACGCGATGGGCAGGCGCCACCATTGCAGATCCGCCAAGGCCCCCAGCCACGGATGAATATGGCAGTGCGCAAGAGGCGGCTCAACCGTCGTCCCTGCTCCCATTGTGGAGAAGAGCACCAGTAATCTCTCAAATAATCGTCGATATCAAGAATACGAATTTCTTTCATTTATACTTTTTTTTCATATTTATTTTGTATTTTTTGTTGTTTTTTTTTTTCTAAAGTTTTTTTGTTTGTTTGAATTGATTCCATGGTTTTCGGTTTGTTTTGCTAATTCAGAATCAGAATGGATACATATTTCGAGTTGCGTGTGCTTCTTGCGTGCGTTTATGTGCCATCGCGCGTGCGAATCTCGTGGATTATCCGTCAAGATTATTACAGGCCCAAACCGAACCGAAAAGTCTGGATTTACGTAACTACTAAAAAAAAAAAAAAAAAAAAACCTTGTGATTTTATATTATATATATAGTAGTATGTATATATATATGTATATGTATATATATATATGTATATATGTATTATGTGTATACAGAAATATGCATCTATGCATCACTCCGGTTCCGCCCCCTTTGTCACATTTACAAAATGATCCTCCGCTTAGTTGTATTTACAATGCGCAACAGACCCAGGAGTACAAATTTTTTCGGAGCAGAGAGAACAATAAAAAAAACAAAAAAAAAACCAGCAAATATAACACGATAAATGAATCAACCTTTGAGTGGTGGGGGGCGGGGGGCTATAGGGATTGGGCTGTCTCCGAAATTCGGTTGGATTAATTGGCACTGATTGAAACGAGGCAGCAGAGTCCCAAGTGCAGCCACAGTGAAAGTAAGTAAATGCATATATTGAGTTTAGATTACAAAAAATTTAATTGATTTGCCGATATAATTTTACACATACACATTTTGTGCCGCTGTTTGCTGCTGCATCGTTTGGCCCCCAGTGCCTAACGAAATGATAAAGGAAATAAATGGTTTGGAGAGCGTGGAACGATCCGATTCCCTTTACAGCATGGAATTACAATAATGGATTTATAGTACATTTTCTTGTATATTAAACAAACAATATCAATTTGCAGCCATAGCAGCCAGCGCGTTATAATTACTAATAAACAATATCAATTTGCAAATTGCAGCTTCGCCAATGCCAATGCTAATGCCAATGCCAATGCCAACGCCTACATAATGTAACACACAATCTGTAAAAACTAATAACAAATTCACCCTAAACACCTCTCCTTTGTCCGCTGGCTAAGTCATCCAGCGCTCACTCTACTGACCACTGTTCACTGTCTACCCATTGCACACACTATACTCTCTCTCTCTCTCTCTCTTTTCGTCACTAAATATCTTCTTATTACATATATATGTATATGTTCACTCAGCTCTATTTTCTACGCATTTCACAATTCGCTTTTCATTTCAATTTGCTTTAACTTTAGTATTTATCAACGTTAATTTACGTATGGGGATAATACACACATACTATACCATATATATATATTAACTATCTCATATATGTGTATATATATATAATGTATATCAATTAGATCTTCATATTCGTTTTCGTTTTCGTTTTTTACATGCACAAACTCATGGGGCCAAAGTAGATAATTTTCTTTTTGTTTTCATTTCATTTCTTTTCTTTTGTGTTAGCTATTTGTTTTCTTGCTGCTACTGCTGCTGCTGCTGCTGCTGCTGCTATTTTGCTTAAAGATTAAAGATATCGCGTTACGAGACTTAAGACTTAAGGCTGTTTTCCATAGGTAGAACACGAAACATATAGATATATATATATATATATACATATATATATGTATGTATGAATATAGGCATATTATTCGAATATATTAAATATTTTCTTAGATCTGGCTCCAGAGATTCACATACAATTAATGCGGTGTGTGGTGTGTTGTGGTGCGTTCGTTAACAGGCAGATTAACTCGTACATACATACATATGCAATCATACATACATATATATATATATATATAGGCGTAATCGTGATCGTGTTTGTGTGCTTATCCATTTAATTTTTGGACCTGCAGCCCATAAACAGTTACATTTTACAACATATGTCATTTGCATTGATAACTAATTACTTGTATCTTATTATATATATATATGGGTATATATGTTTATATATATGTTATATATATATATGTATATAGATAATATCATTGATTTTTGCTTGCCCTATGCTGTGGCGGGGGAGGCGGATTTTTATGTTTTCTTCTTTTTTTTTTCTATGTGCGGTGCCAGAACTAGATGCTGTCATGTGATGCTCGCATCCAATATATATAATATAGTAAGATTATATATATATATAGTCTGTGTTGGGTGCACTCTTCTCCTCCTCCTCCTCCACCGTTCACAATTTGGAAAATCTGCACATAACGAGCTTTAGTATCTTAAACGTAAGGGGGTGGGGGTGGGGTTGGTGGTAAGCGGGGTTTTGGGTTAAGTAGAGACATTTTGTAGAGGAGAAGCCTAATTGGGGTTTTGGCGCATCGAATCAGATCGGTTTGGGTTTGGGTTTTGGGTCGGAGGCTTTTGGGGCTTTGTTGACTGGTGATGGACGACTAGGCGTGGAGCTGTGTCAGCAAACAGGAGACAGGAAACGGGAAACTTGCTTAAACTTGGCTTGGTTTGCTTTTGTTGTTTTCCCTCGCTAGATCTGGCCAACCAGCTCCTGTATGCTGCGCAGTAAATCTTCCATATTTCACAAGAGATCGCGATGAAACACCCAGGTGTGTTTTGTGTGAGCAAACTTATGCGAGAGCCACTGCGACTCCAGCAAATTGAATCGATCCTGGCTCAGATACAATGGTTTGCCGCGCCTAAACAGCGGAAAGAAGCAGGCACACGAATTTGAAATCAATCTCACGGTGCAGCCAAAATTCAACTCACTTGAGATCGCGATCCTCCTCGTCAAAGTCATCCAGATAGAGCGATCCCCAGAGGCAAGCGCGGCGACCACGTATGACAATGATGTACGTGGATGTGACCACCAGGAAGATGCCAATGCCGCCGCCACAGGACAGCGTGTGCTAAGAAGGGACACACACGGTACAATTAGTGCTTGTGCTTTGTGCTGGCGCATAAACAGCCGTAAACTCAACTCACCCGTACTGCCTCACAGCAATCGTTCTCCGCACAGCAGTTCTGCTTGAGGCACACAATCGTCCCGCACAGCAGGCAAATGGAGCTTTCCTTTGGAACTTTGTAGCAATTGAGGCAGGGCCGCTCGTGATAGTACTGCAACGAAAAATATAACACATGATTAGTGATGATACAATGTCCAATGTATGGTGCAGTGCTGTGCAGTGCTGCGTACCGTGAACAGACGCTCGTACTCGCGTGGCAGCTCCAGCAGTCGCGGCTGCTGCCACAGCGAATGCTGATTGATCAGCACCAGCTCGCGTATGGTGTCCGATGGCGGTCGCACCTCCCGCAGCTGTTTGCACCAGAACTGGGGCAGTGTGTGCTCGGTGCCCGGTATGAAGCATAGGCCTTTGCTGGCATTAAAGCAGTCCCAGTCCATTGAATCGGTGACCAGTTCCAGGTAGTAAACCAGACGCACAAACTCCAAGCCCGGCGCCGATATCTCTGGCATCTCGTGGCGATACAGATGCTGACGCAGCAGGGCCGCTACCCGCAGGAATGGCAGACACAGCGACTGCAGCTGCAACTCCATCGATTTTAAATTCACATCGCACGATGATGCTGACGCTCCGCTTGTTCCCGGGCCGCCACCGCCGCCGCCCCCCCCGCTGCTCTGCTGCTGCTGCTGCTGCTGCAACTGCTGTTGGCGTGCGCACTGGTGCTGCTAGTGCTGCTGCTGCTGCTCGCTGCCGCAGAAGTGCTGGCTATGCTGTCGCGTCGCAGATTGATCAAACAATCGGTCTCGCCCAACACCAGTGCCATGGCCCGTCCCAGTTGGGCGGCGCTCTGCTGCTGATGGCCACTGAAACGGCTCGAGCTGCTGCGGCGATTGTAGGACGTGGACGTGCTGGGCACAGGGCCAGCGGAGACGCTCGAGCTGACAATCGCTGCAGTGGCCTCCGCTGTTGCCTCCGTTGACTGGCTGCTGGCCGTGGCGTTGGCACTGGCACTGGTGCTGTTGCTACTCCCAGTGCTGCCATACAGGGCCAGAATGAAATCACACTCGAGATCCGTCAGGGTGACGCACAGCTGGACGACAATTTGGTAGTACAACAAATTGTACATCACCTTCACCATGCAGGTGAAGTAATCTATTGGGGGGGGGGGTAGAAAAGCAACAAAAGATGAGCCACCGTTCTCGCTTGGGAAAACAAAACAAAACAAACAAAAAATACTTACCCTGATCCAAGTGCAGCGGTGCCAAGAGTATAAACTTGAGTAGCAGTGCAATGGGATCCGCCAGCAGACTAGGTATCAGCTCCTGACAATGGGCCGGCAGAGGTTCCGCATCGCTCACGGGCAGTCCCGCAAGCGAGGCCCAGCTACTCCACAGCGGCCATTCGACCAGGACGCGCACATGCACCGACAGCACATGCAACAGCGGCACAATGCAGTCCCTCTTCGGCTTGTATCGTGTCGCATTCGATGTGCACAGTGAGCCGCCGCGCTGAATGATCTCCGCCTCCAGATTGGTGCGCGCTATCGATGTCACAAAGATGAACAGCTTGCGGAACGTGATGGAGGCGCATTTCACCTTTCGCTGCGAAATGTTTGTCATCACCTCCATGGCATGGCCCATGGCCTCTGTCAGTTTTGTCGATGGCTGTGCGTGCGTGGAGACAAACAAAAATTGAGAATAAGAATGAGACGATAAATGATATTGGGAGTTTGCTCCTTACCGGCATCGTTTCGTTCTCCTTGATCAGATCCGAGAGATCGGCGACCAGCTGCTCGAACGGCTGATTGCCCGACCTGACCAGATGCGTCGGCCTGTCCAGCTGCGGACTCAGTGGCAGCACCGAATTCGACAATTGCCGACACACCGGGCAGTAGAACTCGCCCCGATCCTGCACCGGCTGCCGCTGGGTGGTGTACAACGTCTTGAGGTACGCCTCCAGGCAGCTCAGATGCACATGGTGGCCGCACGACTGCACATGGACGCCGTTGTCGTAGGCCATATTGTTGGACAGATACCAGGACTCGTCGCCAAACTTCAAGCTAAGCAGCTCGGTGCGGCGGCTGAACTCGGAGGCCAGGCGGGTGCTGCGGGCCAGCCGTTGCTCTTCACCAGCGTCAAGGGGCAGCGGCAGACGCTCTGCGATGCGTCGACGATGGCCAACGATGCCGCTGGATTCGACCAGAACCACCAGGCCAATTGGATTGGTTTCAGTGCTGGGCGTGGTGCAGTTGCAGATGATGCAGTCGTATTCCTTCTCGCGTGGCTGCTCCTCGTACAGATCCTCATCGTCGTCATCCTCCAGGCCGTTGTCCATGTTATTGGCCGCCGCTGCCGCCGACTGCATGAACTGTTTCTGCTTGTTGGCAAAGTCCTGCATCATCTTTTGCTGGCGCTCACGCGCCTTCTTCCTGCGCTCCTCCTTCTCCTTGCTCTCCCGCGCCCGCGCCTCCGCCTGCTTCTCGCGCTGATTGGGCCAAAGGCGGGCCCTTATCTCGTCAATGCTCACCGCGCACAGCTCGTCCTTTTTGGCAATCTTGCGCAGCAAATTCCCAATAAAGAAGGGCCCATCGCCGATCCGCGATGCGGACACATGGATGTTCGTGTAGTTGCGTCGCCCCCGTCCATGACGTTCGGCCAGGGCCGTGCTCTCGGCAGCTGCCGCGGCCGTCGATGTGCTCGCCTCATTACAGTCCACGTCCATCGACTGTGGATCCGATGACGATGCCGTTGCCGCACAGTCCTCACCATCGCTAAGCGAAAAGCTGTCAAGGGTGCCGCTCAGCTGCGAGTGCAGCTTCAGCAGCAGCGACAATATGCTCTCGTCCATGTGCAGGTCGTCCTTATTGTTGCCCCCAATGGCTATGTCGACGGACCGCTTGCGCGTCCCAGCGGCGTCGTAGTTCATGCGCCGTCCGCTGCCGGCAAAGCTGCCCATGCCGAGGGCGTTCGAGGGCACAATGTCCATGTTGCCGCTGCTCGGCACGGCCACTGGTTGGACGCGCTGGAACGGCAGCAGCATACCGCTGCCGGTGGGCGTTGTCGGGGAGAACATCTCGCTGGGCGCGGCCAGCGCCGGGGGTCCGGTGCCGATGCCAATACCAGCGCCCACTCCTGCTCCACCAGCCACATGGTTGCTCTCGGCCAGCAGGAGATCGCGTCGTATGGCCACCTCCATGCCGCTCTCGGGCAGCGTGATCTGTTGCATGGGAAAGTGAAAGTCGAGGGCGGCCGGACCCAGATCCATGGCTGTATCCCGGTCACGCAGCAGGTCGTCCTCGTTACTGTCCTGCCGGATGATCACTCCCGTCTCCGGCACCACGGACAGATCGGGTGGTAGGGCCACTTCCATGCCGGGCATTCGCATCGGCACCAGAGCCTGCGACATGCTCCTGCGGGCCACAGTCATGGCACCCGCTCCAAGTGCCGCTCCCGCGCCTGCTCCTGCACCCGGTGCGCCACCGCCAGCCGCCTCATCGCCATCGGACTCCAACTGTCCAATCATCCGCATGCCCATCTCCGAGTCCGGATCCACGTCAAACTCCAGATCGGAGTAGAACGGATTGGAGCGGTAGCTGGAGCCGATCACCTGCGGATCGCGCGACTTCAGCGACAGCTTGTTGACCACGTGCCGCAGATTGCAGCTGAGATTGTCCGTGGGATAGCACTGGAACAGTCGCGGCGGCTCCTGCCTGCCCTGGTTGTAGCCGTGATGGTATCCCCCACCGCCACCGCCGCCGCCAGTGCACTCCACCATGGCGGCCGCAGCTGCCGGCGGGCTGTCGCTGACATCGCTGCTCGTCTCCACGGCCATCTCCAGCAGAAAGACGGCCAGGGCCAGCAGGTGCTCGGAGACATCGCGCGTGTGCACGGCCCGGAAGAAGATCGAGAGGATGGTGGAGTGGAAGACGCGCGAGTTCAGTATGCGGCAGGGATCGGTGAAGGAGCTGGTCGTGGGCAGGGCCTGTGGCAGGCGGAACGGCGGCCACAGATTGCCACTGGCGGGCATCTTCTCCTTCGACTTGACATAGTTGGTGAAGCGATCCAGCGAGGACTGAAAGTCGCGACGATGCACGGCCCGCAGGAGGACGTGCAGCGGATCATAGTACTTCTCCCACACCTCGTCGATGGGTGTGAAGAGGCCCTGCTCGAGATTCTCGGACCCACTCGAGGGCGCCTTGTACACCGACAGCTTCTTGAGGAACGTCTCAAAGTTCTTGGTGTGGACATTGCCCGACCGTTCCGGCATCAGCTCGAGCAGCTGCGAGTGTGTCTTGTTCTCGGTGGCCAGCAGGGCGCTGATCTCGATGATGCACTGGGTAGCCTCATCGTTGCCCAGATTGGTGCGACTCGTGACCAGGGTGGCAAGGAATGTGAGGAAGCCCTCCAGCATGGAGGACTGCTCCGCCTTTTGGGGCTGCTTCAGCGGTGCCGTCTCCAGCCACTGGCCCACATCGAACAGCTCGATGGTGTTCTGCAGGAAAAAGTACTGCGGCAGATTTGTGGCGCAGATCTGTAGAAAAAACAGGTCCATGTCAGCCATCGAGTTGCAGAAGTTGGCCTGTATGTAGGTCATGGCCTGGCCCTTGATCTGAAGGCCATTCCGCACCCATTTGCCAGCCAAAATTTCATAGAAGAAGCTCTGCAAAAAGACAATAAAAAGAAAATAAAAATTAGTATTTTGAAAATAACGCAGATATCGTTCAATGTGCGATATCGATGACAAAGCCGCCTATCAGCTATCGAAACGAGCTAGAAAGCAACTCTAACAGCCCAATTCGAGCATACATATTGCTAGCTCGCTCACACTTATGCTGCGACCTATGCTTGGCAAGCAGAAAGAACTGTAAACTGTAAACCGAAAGAGAAACACACAACAAAGGCAACAGCAACAAACAGCACACACACACACGGACCGTGTAAATGAGCATTAAAACTGTCTCGTGCCCGTCTGTATGCGTGCGTGTATTTTAATCAATCAATCCAATCCAAGTTAGTATCAGGCATCAGCAGCGAGAGCATCTCTGCTGTCTGTTGTTGTGGTGTCCGGCATCCCGCATTCGTTTTTTAAATTTCAACGGGTGCAGTCGCGTGCGCGTGTGTGTTCCGTTCCACTCCGTGCCCGTGTCTCGGTTTATGGAAAAATTTCGTATAGTCAATCTCAATATAATAATCTTTAAGCGCACACACGCCTGAACCCCACACACGCAGCAGCTCAGCCCACACCTCACCTGCCAAAATCAAGATGCCAACAGCAATGAAACGGTGGATTTCCCTGTTTCTGGCCTTGCTGGTAACACTCCAGCAGCCCGCCCCAACAACGGCCCTGATCGAGGATGTGCTCGACATCATACACGTGGTCAAGGAGGTGTCTTCGGGCATACTGAAGGCCTGGGACATTGTACAGGCCTCGCCTTTGGCGGCCAACATAGACTTTCCACTGATGCGCGAAAAGCAGCGAAAGGTGCTGCAGCGCCTTAAAGAGGTCACCCGGCAGATAGACCAGACCGAGGAGCAAGTAATACACAGAGGGATTAGTCACTCATCAGCGTACAGTAACCCACCATCCGACCACTTTCAGCACGCCGAGTATGTGGCCCTGGCCATAGATACGGTGACCAGCCACATGAATCTGAATGGCCCCATCCTGGCCAAGATGAACGACATCGGGGACACTGTGAACAGGATCTCGTCGCGCTACCAGCAGATGCAGAAATACGAGGCCCACAAGGACAAACTCGAAATGTCCACCCTTATCACTTTCGCCGAGTGGACAGTCTCCCCGAATGCCCATTCGGTGCACCACCTAATGGACCGCCTGCATCTCATACTCTTCGGCAGCGAAGAAAAGGCAAACACGACGGGCACCAGCAGCAGCAGCAGCAGCCTGCTCGCCCATCTGGCGACCAGCTATGAGGTAACAACAACTCTTCCTAGTCACTGATAGTATGTATGAATGAATTTCCAGGCATCAATCTCGAGAGTAGATTCGTTTCCTACATGATTCATACGCGCGCATTAGGCTAAGAGTTGATTCCCAGAATTGGGCGGGCGTCTGGGTCCCCTGAACTAAACTCGACTTTCCGGTTGTGCCTTCGTCACGACGATATGCTTGTGTATGCCATTCCGTATTCTCTGGATCCAATCCCTCTTCATTATCGACTTTCGGCTGGGCAAAAGAAAGTCCGCGCCGCCGGATTAGTCATCTTCGGCTTTGTCATAACGGTTGCCAGAGCCAAGACAAAGTTGAAAGCTGTGAAAACTTGCGCATTTTATTCATTTATTTTGCTGTCCAAAAAACTGGCTCGCCAAAATCATTGCACATTCTCGGCCCTCTTTATTCTTTGTGTGTGTGTGTGTATGTATACGCACAAAGAGGTCAAAGGTCTGGTGTCAACAAAGACTGCACAAACACAAGGCAACAAACAAACAAGATGACAACAACAAACAACAGAGGGCATTGCAGCAGCGCCGCCCCCATGCAGAGCAACTCTTTGTTTGCACTGCGTCAGACAAAGATGGATATATCGAGAGAGAGAGAGAGAGAGGAAAACGAGCGCTGTGGGAGAGCTTACGCACTGCAGTACAAGACCTGAGAGAGCACAGAGCAGAGCACACTGCTTGCACCTGAGAGAGCGCACAGCTGTTGTCCATGCCAATTAGATGGTGTGACGTCACGTCACTAAAACCCACTTTCTAACTATCGACTGGGATTATTGCATGTGATCGTAGGGGAAACGAAAACTGATTCAAATGTAGCGTATGGGAACAGTCTTCTCAACCGAATAAGAATCAAACGATTTTGCTCAATTTTTTTGTGGCACGAATTTACACTGAGATTGCGGACGCTCGCTCACCCATACATACACCAAGCGCTGTCAATGTATGCGGGCGTGTGTGTTTATGCTTCCCATCGTCTGGCAAGAAACCAAAAACACCAACAACAATACAGAAAGAGCTTCAGTCAGCGATTTTAAAACGTACACGACCTATCAATACGAGCCAGCAAGCGAGCACGAGCACTCGCAAACGAGCAAGCACACACACACACACACACATGCATTGGGAGCGGAGCTCGAGAGCGGAGCGCTTTAAAACAGAAACTGAAAAATTACAGTAGCAGAACAACGACAGCACCAGCACTACTCAGAACATAACACCGAAAAAAAGTGAGCGAATTAAAATAAATCGCAAAAAGTGCGAGCACACATTTATTCGCTTTGTTTTGGGGAAAAAAAAAACAAAACAACTGCAAATGTGCCTGCACTGCTGCTGCTGCCCACATTCCAGCAAACAACACACACAACACGACAAATCGCAGCTATAAAAGCCTAATACAGTCTTTGTCTTAAAGCGAGACTCGAATCCAGTGCGAAGCTGGCCGGAGAGACTCACAAGTGACAAGAGACAAGCAGAGTAGTGTCCAGCAGGAAACACTGGCAATCAGTGCAACGGAACTGGCTTCCTGCCTTCCACGCAGAGTGTGAGGAAATTGTGAAAAAAAGAAATATATATAAAAATAAGAGTCGAGGAAATCCCCCTATTTGCTGCTATCAGCAAATCACAGCACAGAACCGACGAACCAAGATGGCGGCAGCGGCGTCGGCAGCTGTCCAGGGCCACAGAGCCATGGATGTGGTCGTTTTCGTTATATTGCTAGCCCTGGCCACACTGGGGGGAGTCGTCAGCCTAAAACGCACACCCATGCTGCAGGTGGATGCCCTGCGCACCGAGTACATAAGCCTGGAGCGGGATCTCTGGGAGTATCTGGAGAAGACGGCCAACAGCCAGAACAACAAGGAAACGCAGCTGCGCAAGATCTTTGTCTCGCATCGCGATTTCAATGCGAAACCCTTCATGGATCACTCCTTTGAGGTGCAGCGCTATGAGATCCTTAAACACTACGAATGGTCGGTTCTGGAGCGAGAACTGGAGCATATAGGCCAACTGTTTGACGAGTATAAGGTACAAGACGACTTACAGATAAAAACACACACGTCAGATGAAAAGCTAACTTCCCTTTTTGGTACCCACAGGAGACATTGTCGAAGCAGAACAACAGTGCCCAGCTGGAGGAGCGTGATATTCTCGAACTAGCCCAAAATGTTTTTCGCGAGAGTAATACTGCACGCATCCTGCAGGAGATACACCGTGTGATGGTCCAGCAAACACTCTACTACAGAGCCATGGTGGTTAGTCAGTCAGATAGTCAGTCAGTACTCCCTTTATCACAATCTTCATGTACACTGTAGGTGCCACCGGGTACCAGGGTCCGTTCGGTGGTGGTGCATTCCGATAATTGGCATGTTATTTCAACAATTTTACAGCCAGATGTGTGAGCTGATTAGGTGTTCCGTAATCGATAGGGGGGGAGCACGCTCGCCTCACGGTTGGTTAATGGTTAGGCCGCAGAAACAGATGGCAGGGCTGGGCTTGGGGGCTATTGATGTCGTTTCGAGTAAATGGATAACCAAATGGATGTTTGCATTTTTTCCATTCAATTTTACAGGCCTCCACAAACGAAATATGCAACACCCAGCAATCGGCGCAACAGTTTGTGTATTCACTTTATGCGGACATCGCTCTGACCGAACTGAAGGCCTACACCATGATGGAGTTCTCGTGGATGATGCTGCGCGTCTATGGCAAGGGAAATTTCACACAGGAGGCCGAACTGATGCGCACCGACTATGAGCGACGCACGGAGCGAACACTGAAGCTGCTCAAGGATGTGATGACGCGGGCCGATCGCATTGTTTGGCGCTGTGATCCCAAGAAGCATGTGGCTGGCGTCACCTACGACGAGGTGACGCGCTTGCTTCAGGGCTACATCGAGAACGAGGTGGATCTGAACAATGAGGAGACATGCCGCGAGACCTGCTCCTTCTACCAGTCGACACGCAGCGAAGGCTGCTTCAAGGATCTCTACTGCGCCCGTCAGCCCAAGTGCTCGGGACGTTTGTACAACTGCCAGTTTGTCGATTCGGACATGTGGGTGTGCCCCTCATCCAAGAACAGCACCAGGCGGTACGAGTACATCGAGTACGAGAACGGACGAACGCTGGGCAAGCGTTCGAATTGTGTGCGCGGCACAACCAAAGTGGACAGCTGGTGGCGCTACCTCTTCTGGCATTGCAGCTACTGCTTCTGCATGTGCGACGAGCAGGGTCTCAAGTCCGATCGTTTCTTCAATCTGCGCGAGGCCGTGTCCGATGTGAAGCGCAACAGGTGAGCAGAGATCCCATCTACGAGGTGTGGAGGGTGGTTCAAAGCTTAACTAACCCCCCATTTGATGTACTTTTCTAGGGTCGTGACTGGACTGCGTTTTGTGAAGAAGAATCGAATCTTCCATCTGCAGATACAGGAGGGAGAGCTATTGCCGCGCGGCGGCATCAATCACACGACACTGTCGTGGAAGCCCGTGGAGAATTATAACATCTTTGACAGGGACGTGAAGAAGGGCACCGACTATCACACGCTCAGCTATGAGAGCCGCTCCATTGATCTGGACGATGTCAACACGGATGACAATAGCTTTGTGGTAACGGGCGTGCGTTTTCGTGTGGTTGGGGCCCATCTAAATCTGGAGGCATGCTACAGCGAATTCGATTTCAAGACGGGCCAGCTACAGCAGCCGGAGGTGAACAGCTACTGGAAGTCCAACGACAACACCGATGTCAGCGGTGACAGCAAGACGCGCAGGTGAGTCTCCAAGGTATCCGAATTCTTGAGCAACATCTAACATCTCTCTCTCTCTCTGTCTCTTCTGTGCTGTGCTGTGCTGTGCAGGGAAAAAGTGAGCCTTTCGAATGCGGACGTATCCACTCGTACCATCACCTACTCGATACCTCAGTCACGCCACAACCAGTATATCGAGTTCACCAACACGGACCTGGATAAGGATGCGGCCCAAAGCACAGTGCCGTTCATGGATGTTCAGGATGTGATATCGAATCCTCCAGTGCCGCTGTCGGGTATTGGCATCTACTACAAGGGTCGCAACGGCTATGGCGGCTTCCTGGGGCCCAAGATCATCACCTATGACTTTACGCCCCATGTCCAGGTGCCCAAGAACAAATATTAGGGGATGACTCTAAGCAGATCGGATCGGATCGGTTCGGATCACATATTTCCATAGCTTTCTTAGTTGTACAACCTACCTAACTACTACCCTCCCCTCTACCCCACAAAATATACCTTTTGCAATTAATTTTGTGTAGTCCTAGTAGTGTGAGGATTCGAATCAGACACCAGAGAATATAAACTAAATAATATTGGAATTAGCCATAAATAAAGAGAACAAAACAAGCCACGAAACCTGCCAACCAATGTGCTAGCAAAGACAATGGGGATAGAAGGGATACCGGAATAAATTGCAAATAAATTTGTCCGCGGTACTACGGTAATCTTTTGTCTCGTTCCGAGCAACAATTTGCTGTGTAGCATATATATTATATTTGGTTTCTTGGAAACGATTTGTGTGCCCAAAAACTGTGTATATTGTGCTTTGGATTAAATCAACGGTGACTGGCTCAGCTGCGGGGTCAAAACCCCGCCAAAAACGCAAATACTGTAATCAAAAAAAAAAAAAAAACTCACCTGAACACGCAGCGGATGGATCATCAATAACGGCAAGAGATACGGACGCGAGGGCAGCACTTCGCTCAGGGGTATGCCCATTTTGGTGACCGCCTGACAGACAAATGCGGCCAGATACCTATGTAGCGGGAAAATGGAATGAGGCCTGCATCATTTCCTCCTGCAAAAAAGAAAAAACAATTAAGAGAAGCATGAAAAAGTATCTGAAAGCCGAAGAGCAGTAGATCAGCCAGAAAACGCACCATTGAGAGTCTGGCCTCCATAAAGTATATCGAATCGAGCCACTCGTGCAGCGTCGTCACACAATAGTTGATGATCTTTTTGGCCAGATGGGCATGGGTGCCGTCCTGCAGATGGGATATGATCGACCACATGGGATAGGCGCTGGCCTCCAGTTCGCATGAGAAGGCCGCATAGTAGCTATTCGGTTCGAATTCCACATGGGAGGCCGTTTCCCGCACATTCACATTCATGCCCTGCAGCATTTGGAGGAACTGAAACCACATATCGATGAGGTTGTCGTCCCGCAGAAAGACCAATGCCACCGATTCGTGCGATAGCACGTTATTGAAGTCCGAGACAAGCGGCCAATAGCAATGATCCTTCATCACCTGGCGCGTACAATCGATGACAAAGTGAAAGTTTTTGCCGGGATCTACCAAATCAAAAGATACAACATACAGTTACAGTTACAGTTATAGTTGAATGGTTGTGCTCCCTCCGCAGTGGGCACCGCTCTCCTTACCGTGCAGTGTATTCTGGATGAGAATCTTGGACATCATCAGCTTCAGGCTAATGATCATGACATGCAGCAGCGACAGTTCGTTGACCATCTTGAGGGCTAGGCTCTCGTTGGAGAAGAGCTGGACGCTCATGTGGACCACACGGTTGCTGAGCGTGTCCGGGTCGCGTGACATCTCCAGCACGGACGGAATTCGGCTGTAGTGCATGACAAAGGTGCGGGTCAAATGCTCCTTTAAATCGACAAGAAAACAAAAAGAATGTTAATCAATGCATCCAGCAAGCGTTACTCGTTACTCTCCACTCACTTTGTAGTCCTGGTCGGGTAGCATATTGAGCAGAAAGCAGACGAGCGTCTGGGGGAACTCAAACTTGAATGTCCAGAATATGAATTCCTCGAGTAGTGTGGTGTGCACAAGCTTTTCGCAGAGCGCCGGCAGGTCACGGTACTCGTCGGGTGGCTCCGGATTGGGGAACCGATTGACTGCATCCTCGTACTTTTCGCGATTCGCCTTCAGGAAGCGTCCGTTGCGTGTATCCTGGCAGGGCGTCTCCATGAAGTAGGCGTACACCTCGTGATTGATCAGGGTGCGCGTCATCACCTTGCGCATAATCTCGCCCATGTTGTTCAGATCGATCAGCATATTGGCGAACTCCTCGCACGAGTACGAGGTCATGGCGTGCACCTGCAACGAGGTGTCGCTGTGCTCCCGAAAGTGCTGCAACAGGCGGAAGAGCAGCTTCGGCATAATGGCCTCCGCCACGGCCAGCAGATTGTTGGGCACGGGATCCCGATTCACGCGATTATTGATGCCATGATCGCTGCAGAATCCCTCGGCCTTCATCACGGACGTGTCGCCGCAGTCGCAGGCACCGCCAGCCTGCGACAAGAACATGTTAAAGTCATGATTGGTATGGTTGCCCTTCTTGAAGCAGTCCCGACAGATGGACATGCAGGGCGAGATGCCGCAGGTGCGGCAGCGATAGGCCACCACATGGGGCACCCACACAAGGCCGCACTTTGCATGGTTGTCATAGCTGCGCACTGCAAAATGGAAATCAAGAATCGCTTAGTTTTTTATTCATTTCGGTTTTGGTTTTGGTTTTGGTTTTGGGGGTAAATGTTTGATGATGCGACAAGGCCTGTGGGCTGTGGGCTGTCGGCTGTATGTGGCGTTGCCGTTGGCCTTTGCCTCTTGCCTTGGCTATTGCCATTGATTTGATAGGGTTCCAAAAATAAATGATGCACTCATTGCGGATTGCTTAGTTAAAATCTTTGCTTGTTGCGTGACTTGTTGTTGTCTTTGGGGCGTAGCGGACCTTGTTCGCCATCGCCGATGAAAAGGTCATGCGGAAGGAAATCAATCGAAAGCAGCAACAGTAAAAACAATAGCGAGCGCAGCGAAAAATTGATTGACAATTTTCGAAATGGCGATCGATCGATCGATCGGCAGACAAGTTGGCAACTCTCCGCACTAAAACACACACACACACGCACACATATACGCACTGTCACTATACCCATCCCGTTCTATTCAAACAAAAGAACTTTTGGACAGAGCAGAGGGTTCAGGTGAAATCCGAATGAATCAAAAAAAAAAAAAACAAAACGGGGAAAGCGCAATGAAGGTAACGGTGTGACAGGGCGTGAGGAGGTGTAAGGCGGTGCTGTGCGGTGCGGTGCAGGGCGGGGCCATGGGAACGAAAAGAAGGTGCATACAAAATGCAAGCAGAAACAATTGCGATAACGGTCAGGCAATTGCTGTACACATGTACAGATACGTGCGAGTGATAAGGATGACACGATGTTGATGACAAACACCGCAAAAAGCAGTGGCAGCTTTGATAACATTTTGGATTGTCGAAATCTACGCACAGCAATTGCAATTGGACGGACATGGGGTAGTCAGCGTCAGAGTCGGGGCTAAAGTTATCCCACAAGTGTCTGGATGTACCATTTACATTTGCAATTTTATTAAATCTCACAAGACATTAAAATTCACAAACAAACAAACACACGCATGTGCTCCAGTAAAACAATTGAAAACAAACACAAAAGGTGGGACACCTTTTCAATGCTCTTTCGGTGTTTATTCGCCGCTCAATGTTGCTGCCATTGTTCCTAATCTTTTGCTGCATGTGTAGGGTATTGTAAAATAGAGCAACACTCCAGCAAAACGGTGACAGAGAGGTGCCCGGTGTGCAGATGGCCAGATGTGCATGCCATGCAAGTATGTACATAGGTGTATGTGTGTGCGTACGTTGGACGGATGTGCCTAGATGCAACGCTGCCTGCTGCTGTTGTTGCTGCTGCCGCTGCTGTTGCTGATGCTGGGGTAAAGAATATTACGCAAGGCAAAACTGCACAAGAACAGCTGACACGGCGGCAGCGGGCGGCGGCCACAAGGTGTCAAGCTGCAGTTACCCACTGTGCGTGTACATACACACACACACACATACACATACAATTGAAATGCGTGTGTGCGTGAGCGAGCGAGTGAGCAGACAAGTGGGACAAACAAAAAAAAACAAAACAAAAAAGAAGAAAAAAAAAAGCGAACAACCACCTAGAGTTTGGCGACTTACGCAGCCTGGCACCAAATTATTATAATAGTAATAATAAAATTTTCTACAGCAGCAAATGAAATGCAAGAGAGAGGCATTGGCAAATAGATGATTAGTCGGGATTAAATTGGGCTAATTTTGCCCCAGTAGGCGGGGGTGCACTATAAGGGCGGGAAGTTTATGCATATATCCATATATATTATATACATAAAATTTTAAAAAAAACCTAAAAAAAAAAAAAAAAAAAAATTTTTTTCATACCTTTTTAAAAAAAAGGGCTGTTAAACATTAAAAACCGAAGAACGGGGGGGGGGGTATATACATTATGTATTTGTATGTATGCATGTATGTTTTGCTGTTGCCATGGTGGTGCACTCTTCACGCTGCTTTGCACCTTGGCTACCTTGCTGTTCACTCCCTTGCGTGCCCTTTACTATTTACCACAGACACGGCCACACACACGAACACACACACACACTACTATGTACATATGCTGCACACAGCAGCGCAGGTACACGTGCATCCCACTCACACCTTTGGACCCCGAACCCTCCTCAGGGGCAACGTACTGGCCTGCTGTGCCGCCGATCAGCTGGCACATGGATATGGACATGAAGCAGTTGCCGTCTCCGTCTCCGCACGAATGAGTACACGTACTCACCAATCTTGACAAACTCCTGCGGTGTGCGGCCACCGGCGATTAGCCAGCGTATCCACTCGATATTGTCGGGATTATCGATGGGCGTGCCCGGATTGAAGAGCGTATCCATAATGGAGTCCAGATCGGGTGTGGGACTGCCGCGGCAGCACTCTGTATTGATGAGGGCGGCCACCTCTTTGCGGCTGCGTAGGCTGAACGAGGAGGTTCCAAAGAAGAAGCTTGGTTTGGCACCAGCATCCTCACCGGCAGCTGCTGCTGCTCCAGCAGCCGAACTCCCCGCCGTTCCAAAGCGTCCACTGCTATTTGAGCTGCTGCTGCTACCACTGGCCGTTGCACTGCCCGCCGCAGCAGACGCAGCCGCCGCCGCCGCCGCTGGGGCACTCGAGTACTTGTCATGCAACGGCGAACGGGAATTGCCAGCTCTAGCTCTTCCGACAGTGGCAGTGGCAGTTCCTGTGCCACTGCCACTGCCTTCCCCAATTGTGCGGCCGGAGGCGTCAGCTCCGGCACCGGTTGCACTATCATCATCCAAACCTACGGACACATGGCCCGCCGGCTGCACATAAACCGATGACAAGTCCACATCGGAATCATCGTCGTCGTCGTCATCATCATCGTCGTCGTCTACCATGGGCTGGACCATGGCCCGTGCCCTGTCCCCATCGTCGTCCTCCTCATCGATGCTGATATCGGCATTTGACAGGTTGTCATCCTCATCCATGCCTGCTCCTGTTTGGCACCACCTTCTGATTCTACGTTGTTTTGTATTTTGGAGACGTCGCAGGCGACGCCGCTACTCTTGGGCGATTCTCTAGGAAACGATGCCCAGAGAGACAGAGAGAGAGAGAGAGGAAGAGAGATCAGATCCACGCTGATTCTGATTCTGATTCGCTTCAGCTTCTTTGGGCGCTTCTCGTCTTGCGTCCGTCTTGTCTTTTCGTTCTGTTCGGTCTTGTCTTTTCTTTCTTTTTGTTCAAACAAGTTTTTTTTTCTTTGCCGCTCTTCTTCTTCCTATGCCACTGCCTCGTTGAGCAGCAGTCGGTGATTCTTTTTTTCCTTTTCTTTTCTTTTTGGTTGTATTTAAACTCAAACTTTAACTTTAGAATATATTCACTTGAGAATTTAGACGTTTAGATTCACGGGAATGTAATCCGAAATAGAATAGTGATTACGGAAAATTTCACAACACACCGAACGAGAACACAACTTTGACTTTGAGTCACTTGGGGATTGGATTGCTCAGCTCGAGCCGCCTTAACATCTCCGCCTTCTGTGTTCTATGCTTGCGCTCTCTTGACGTTGTTCGCCCGACCTGCTACATCCCGTCCGTCCTGTGAATATGGGGTGGACAGTACGGGTACGGGTACGGTCCGGTGCTGTGCGGTGCAGTCGCACTCTGGACTCGGTCTCGGTCTCCGACTCGGTCTCGGATGGTGGTCCGTCGCGTGGGAGGATTTCGATTTTACGCACTTTTCACGACCGACGACACTATATCCAGGAGGAGTTTTTGTGAATAAGAAATCGACACATATACTTATCAAGCACCAATACACTCACGCACACTACACTCACAAATATAACCAAATATATTATTCGTGCATTGAACTTTTGCCAATTACGATTATTTTCTCGTATTATCCATCAATTGGCTGCACTCGACGGCTGACCCCGTGTCTGATGCTATCAATTGCGTATTATTGATGTTGCTAACTTTCCTAATATAGGTGCCTTTTTAACTGCAAATTTCGAATTGATCTACGAACCTACACACCACAGGCTGTATATTTGTATATGTATATGAATTTTATCTGCAATGCTATGCGGAGCTGCTGGTAGAGGTGGAGAATCATCGATGAACACTTCGATGCATCGATGTTTTTAAAATTACCGGAAAACATCGATGTTCTGTGGTGACTATCGATTTTTTTGCCACCACTAAGTCATCAACTGACACAAATTTTTGCAAGCGTTTTAAATTTCACAGAATTTGACCCGGGGGGGCCCGCGGCGCGGGGATGGTACACAACCCACCACAAATACGTTAGCGATTCCCATTTTTATTTTTACCTCAACCGAAAAACATCGATGTTTCATCGATATTTGCTTTGAAAACATCGATGTCCGCGAACATCAACGTTTCTCCAAGAGACAAAAAAACTGAAAATTTCCAGAAAAAAGGCTTAGAAAAAGCCTTATTTTGTGTGTTAACAGTATTAGCCCCATTAACTCATCATAACTTATACACAAAATGCTCTTGGTAGTTTTATGTTCACTGAATGACAAAATTTGCAGGGAAACAGCTGAAGCGAAGCTCAACCCGCCTGCTATCGAAGCAAAGGTGCCGATGTCTGGTAAATGCCACCCTGGCGCAGGTTACCTTACCTCACCTTACCGGTTATCCAAATGCACCTCGTCTAGCATTTCTATTCCCCTCCCCCAGCCATAAACAGATTCAAATACCGAGTGCCCGCCCAAGACTCTTCTCCAATGCCGCATTGCACTCACTTTTCACATTTTTTGTATTTCCTCTACATTATCAGATGTATTCATAGTTATATAAAAAAATAACGCAGCGCCTTGCTTCTTCTATTGTACCGGTACCGTGCAAGACCAGAGCCGGATACAACGTGGAACAAGCTGTGTACAGGCGTTTACAGACGGCGACCACGACGACCGCCCTTCCTGCGGGTGGAATCGGATGGAATTGGTGTGACATCCTCAATGCGACCAATCTTCATCGACGAGCGGGCCAAAGCGCGCAGTGCGGACTGGGCACCGGGTCCGGGGGTCTTGGTCTTGTTGCCGCCAGTAGCACGTAGCTTGATGTTCAGGGCAGTGATCCCAAGAAGCTTGCACTTCTCAGCAACGTCCTAAAAAGAAAAAACAAAAGCTGGTTAGAGGGGCATTTCTATTGCATTATGGGCAAGGATTACCTGAGCAGCCAACATAGCGGCGTAGGGAGAAGCCTCGTCGCGATCAGCCTTGACCTTCATGCCGCCGGTGACGCGGGCAATGGTTTCGCGGCCGGACAAGTCAGTAACGTGCACAAAGGTGTCGTTGAAGCTGGCATAGATGTGGGCCACTCCGAAGACGATCTCTCCATCACGAACCTGGGGTCCCAGCTGGACCTGCACCTCCTCCTTCTGAACTTTAGCCTTTCTGGGAGCCATTATGCAGTGTGTGGTCGATCAGCAGCTGTTGAGGAGAAGTAAATGCGAAACACACAGTTCAGTTGTCTGCCTCCAAGTCACTATGCAGCTATGTCACTAGCAAAAAAACAACAACAATTCGGCACGGCACCATAACAAAAATATAACAAAATAATTTGGCGGCATCGACCCTGCCCAATTGCAATTTGGCAGTTTTAAATTCAGTTTTGCATAGTCAATTGTTTGCACTAGTTGCTGCATATTGCCGTTTATGCCGATCAGTTCGTAAACCGTATTATTTTTATAAAAATATGTAGGAGAGAATCACAAACGAACCAAATGCGTGAACCGGATACGAAAAAAGAAAGCGACAACTTCACAGCTGTTCAGCGATGGAATGGGAACTGTCATAACAGGGCTGCATTTCAGGGCTGCCACTTCTATCGGTGGGGTGGGCTGGCGCAAAATTCGACAGCCCTGCCAGAATATAGCCAAATTTGTAAACATTTCCAAAAATATACATTAAAATCCCATTTGTATCCCAAATAATGTGCCAAAACTTCACGTACCGCTTACATAAGGTTCTCCAGCTTTATTAAAACGTACATATGCATGGGAAATCTTTGTTTTACATACATAAGCGCATAATTTTGATAGTTTCGACAATGAAAAACATTCCATAGAACTCGTACAGCTTAGAGACGGCGACCACGACGACCGCCCTTCCTGCGGGTGGAATCGGATGGAATTGGTGTGACATCCTCAATGCGACCAATCTTCATCGACGAGCGGGCCAAAGCGCGCAGTGCAGACTGGGCACCGGGTCCGGGGGTCTTGGTCTTGTTGCCGCCAGTAGCACGCAGCTTGATGTGCAAGGCAGTAATGCCGAGGGTCTTGCACTTCTCAGCCACATCCTGGGAAGACAAACACGCGCTTAGATTTGGCATGAACTTGATTTAGGATCAAAACTAACCTGGGCAGCCAACATTGCGGCGTAGGGGGAAGCCTCGTCGCGATCAGCCTTGACCTTCATGCCGCCGGTGACGCGGGCAATGGTTTCGCGGCCGGACAAGTCAGTAACGTGCACAAAGGTGTCGTTGAAGCTGGCATAGATGTGAGCCACTCCGAAGACGATTTCACCATCGCGAACCTGGGGTCCCAGCTGCACCTGCACCTCCTCCTTCTGAACTTTAGCTTTCCTGGGAGCCATTGTGAAGTTGTAAGTCAATCAGTAGCTGCATGGAAAGAGGAATGCAGATATATGTATAAATTGGTCGGGCATAGATCACAAAACAAAACAAAAAAAATTCACAAAACAAAAATTGAAAAAATACGCTCATGCAGGGCAATTTGAATTGGTATGCCATTAAGGCCACTAAGCTGCCATAACCGGCACATATTAATTGAGCCTTAACCGGCTTTAAAATGCAATATTTTACAAAAAATTTATAGACAAAACATTAAACGAACCACTTGCGTGAACCGGATATCAAAAAAGGAAGCTGTCGTAGCTGTCAGAAATGCAGGGTTGATTTTCAACCACTTAGGTATGGGCAGATGGCCCGCCCAGCTCATGGTTGCATTTCACTATCTAACCATCGCAATCCATACATTTTGGTATCGATATGACCCGCAACACTCACTTTCGATAGATATTTTTCATTATCACAAGACATAAAAAAATCAAAACAACGCAAATAAAGTCTTAACCTGGACATCGGCCTCCCTCCGTGGAAAAGTAATAGAATACAAAAAGCGAAAGTATCATGTCGTGGGTTGCCGACTACGAGTATACATGGCTGGAGAGGATTTTCATGCGGGCACTTAGGACCTGTGGCCACATACCCAAACACGTCGCCTTCGTCATGGACGGAAATCGTAGATTCGCCCGCTCCCAGCAGATAGATAAGATAGAGGGACACACGCGTGGCTTCTCGAAGCTAGCTGACTGCCTCCGTTGGTGCCTGGACCTGGGCGTACGCGAGGTGACGACGTTTGCTTTCAGCATCGAGAACTTCAAGCGGTCCAGCGAAGAGGTCGAGGGCCTGTTCAACCTGGCTCGCGACAAGTTTGCAAAGCTGCTAAAGGAGATCGATCGTCTGAACCAGCACGGGATTCGTATCCGGGTGATCGGCAACATTGGACTGCTGCCGCTGGACTTGCAGCAGCTCGTTGCCACTGCCATGCTGAGTACGGAGGACAACGACAAGCTATTCCTGAACGTAGCCTTTTCTTACACCTCTCGCGACGAGATCACCCAGGCGCTGGAGACGGTGCTGCAGCAGAGCAATAGTTCCATCAGCGGCACCAACATAAGCGAGCGGCTTCTGGAGGAGTGTATGTACACGCGGCACTCGCCTGGCCCGGATCTGGTCTTTCGCACCTCGGGCGAGACCAGGCTGAGCGACTTCATGATGTGGCAGGTGGGTAACTGTTGCTGTTTGACTATTGCATCAGCATTCTATGAATATTGGTTGACCTTTTCAGCTCAGTGGATCGGTTCTGTACTTCAGCAATGTCCTGTGGCCGCAGATAACGTTCTGGAACTTTTTGGCCAGCATCCTGGCCTACCAGCGGGACAGATACCGGCTGGACAAGTTTAGGCGGGCGGAACAAATTCAGAGCGCACAGTTGGCTAGAACGAGCGACTTCCACAGCGAGCGGGTGCAACAGTTCCTGCGTAGCATGGATGAGGATCGTCGGAAACTGCTTGTCCGGCGGGCATCCGGCAAAATGTGTTAGATAATTGTATATAAACTAATCAAAAATATAAAAAAATTGTATTGTTTTTATTTTGAACAACAAGGTTGCCACTACGATGCGATAATACGTGGGGAGTAACTATCGCCGTGAATCAGGTCCTCATCTGTCGATAGACATCGACACTATCGATTATAGCAACTCAATTTGCTGCTACAAACGCGTTTTTTTTTGTTGTACAAATCTAAAATACACGAATAGAATTAGTTTCGAGCTCATTGTTACCACCTCCATACGCTTTAGATAGTTTTAATACAACTTTCCAGTGAAAAATTGAAAAATAATCAAAGACCTCGCCACTCCACGGGCGTGAGCGTGACGACGACGGGAGAGTAAAAAAAAAAAACCGAGGAGGTAACGAGCAAATCGGAAGAAAAAAAGCATAAAATCAAATACCAATAGAAGCGTACGCATACATGCAACAAAAGTCAGCAAGTCGAGTTTAAAAGAGCTGCGAAAATTTCGCAAAGTGCAACCACAGGAAAAAAAAAGGTAAGTCAAATGCATTTCTTGTGTGTGCGGCTGTTCTCTGCCTTTACTCTCTCACGGTGCTCTCGTCCACTCTATCCCTTTCTCGCTCTGGCCATGCATTTTGCCGTAGCGATGCTGTATTGATTTTTTCTCCGTGGTGGGTGGGTTCGGGATGCGATGCGGTCGACCAGAGCCACAGCGAATCAATTTTGGGCCGAGTGTTTCGTCCGCTGCATCTTTCTAATCATATTTGTGCTCAGGCTCAGGCAGGCAGGAATAGAAAGAGAGAGAGAGTGCCTCAAACGCTGAACAGTTATAAAAGTGCAAAGTCGCACTCTCTCTTTAATTCCGTTACGTCTCTCTCTCTCGCTGTGCTCCTCCTGCGTGCGTATGGGAGTGTGTGTGTGTGTGTGTGTGTGTGTGTGTGTGTGCGTGTTCGTGTGTTTATTTTACTTGACACTTCCCCTCTCTCTTTTGTCCCGTTTTACTAGCAACAGGAAGGAGCATACGCGGCATCATTCACAAATCGATTGCAACAACCGAGCATAACAAACAGCGATGTATGCCGGAGCATATGCACCCAACACTGGCGGCGTACAGCAGCACACAGGAGGCGGCTACTACGGTAACGGGGCCGTGGCCGGAGCTGGCGTCGGCACTGGTCAGCGTCGCGACCGCCTTTGTTATCCACGCAACAACTTTGCCGGTGCTGGCAGCGGGTCCGCATCACTGAACGGAGCTGCTGGGGCGGCTGGCAGCATGCACTTCAGTCAGCACTACGGCGTGATGGCCTACGGCATACAGAGCGGCATCAGTATGGGTGGCAGTGCTGCCGGGAACGGAGGCAATCCGTATCGCGGTGGAAATACCGTACAGAATGGTGGTGCCTTTGGCAATGGCGTGGCTGGCGGCGGCGCCGGCTACCAAGGCGGCCTGCACGGAAAGAGTCCCAACTATACACAACGCTACCAGAAGCCGCACAACGGCGGCCTGGGCAACGGGGGCGGTGGTGGTGGCTATCAGGCCGGCGGCTATAACGCCGCGGCACTGGGCATGCTCTCCAAAGAGGAGCGTGCCGAAATCCAGCGCGAGAAGGCCAAGAATCCGGGCCGCAATCTGGTCAAGCCCAAGTGGGAGCAGCTGGCGCCCTTCCCCAAGAACTTTTACGTCATCCACCCGAATACGCTGAACATGTCGGAGCAGGCGGTGGCCGAGCTGCGCGGCGAGCTGGAGATAACTGTCTCTGGCAATGAACTGCCCCATCCGGTGGCCAATTTCGAGGAGTGCTCGTTGCCGTCGCACGTCATCGACGAGATGAAGCGACAGGGCTTCACCAAGCCCACCGCCATCCAGTCCCAGGGCTGGCCCATCGCCCTCAGCGGGCGCGACCTGGTCGGCATTGCACAGACCGGGTCGGGCAAGACGCTGGCCTACATGCTGCCGGCCATTGTGCACATTGGCAACCAGCCGCCGATACTGCGCGGCGAGGGACCCATCGCCCTGGTGCTGGCACCCACTCGGGAGCTGGCCCAGCAGATACAGTCGGTGGTGCGTGACTACGGCCACCTGTGCAAGCCGGAGATCCGTCACACTTGCATCTTCGGTGGCTCCTCGAAGGTGCCGCAGGCCCGCGACCTAGAGCGCGGCGTTGAGGTTATTATTGCCACGCCGGGACGGCTGATCGACTTCCTGGAGAATCGCAACACCAATCTGGCCCGCTGCACCTACCTGGTGCTGGACGAGGCCGATCGCATGCTCGACATGGGCTTCGAGCCGCAAATCCGCAAGATTATCGAACAGATCCGACCCGATCGACAGGTGGTCATGTGGTCCGCCACCTGGCCCAAGGAGGTGCAGGCCCTGGCCGGTGATTTCCTCAACGACTACATCCAGATCAACATTGGGTCGATGAATCTCTCGGCCAACCACAACATTCACCAGATCGTCGAGATCTGCACAGAGATGGAGAAGCCTCAACGCATGGTGAGGCTGCTCAAGGAGATCGCTCCGACCACCAACAATTCGTCCAATAGTGGCAACAAGATCATCATATTTGTGGAGACCAAGATCAAGGTGGGTTCTCTGTAATCTGGAACAGATTGTAGACTGACTGTAGGCTAACATTTGCTTTCCATTCCGTTCCATTTCTGTTTAGGTGGAGGACATACTGCAGATCATACGCACCGAGGGCTACACTGCCACTTCGATCCATGGGGACAAGACGCAGAATGAGCGCGATTCGGTGCTGAAGGATTTCCGCAACGGCAAGTCCAACATATTGATTGCCACAGATGTGGCATCGCGCGGCCTCGATGTCGAGGATCTGCAGTATGTGATCAATTACGATTATCCAAACTCGTCCGAGAATTATGTGCATCGCATCGGACGTACCGGTCGCTGCCAGCAGCTGGGCACCGCCTACACCTTTTTCACGCCCGACAATGCCAAGCAGGCGCGTGAACTCATCTCGGTGCTGGAGGAGGCGGGTCAGACGCCCTCACAGGCGCTGCTCGATCTTGCACGCTCGATGCCCAGTTCGGGCAACTATCGGGGCAACAAGCGCTGGAACAGCACCGGCAACAGCTCTGGCGGCGGCACTGGTGGCGGCTACAACAACGGTGTCTATCAGCAGCGTGGCAATCCGCTCAACTATCAGGCCGGTGGTGGGTACAACAACAATCGCGGTGGTGCCGCAACCGGTGGCTATCAGCAGTATGCCGCTGGCGGCAACGGTTACCAACAGAATGGAATCAGCGGCGGCAACTGGAATCGCATGAACCAGCTGGGACAGGATGGCGGCAACCGTAACGGCAGCACTTACCGCCCGCGCGCCCCCTTCAACAGTGGGGGACCGCGTGCGATTATGGGACACCAGGGCGGTGGCGCTGGTGGTCCAGGCGGTGGCAGCCCACAGCCGCATTTGGGCCAGCAGGGCGGACCCTTCATACAGCAGGCATTTCGCAGTCGCGGCCAGTTCGTGCCGCAGAATGCCGCCACCGGAGGTATGCCGCCGCGATTCCAGCAGTTCCCCAAGCGCGACTACCAGCAGCACTATCAGCAACAGCAGCAGCAACAGGCGGGCCAGCAGCAGAAGAGTCCTCAAAGGATGAGAAGTATGCACAGCAGCCAGCTACAGTGGCCGCTTCCATGGTGCACTATACGCCGACCAACTCGCCGCCGATTGCGACCGTGACAGCAGCCGCAGCTGCGGTGGCTGGACGCGCAACCGTGTCCGCTGGCCCGGCGGCTGCTTACATGTACGACGCCAATGGTGTGCTGACCACCACCGCTGCTCCGGGCACCAATCCGTATGCCAATCAGTTCAGCATGCCGGCCACCTACTATACGGCCCAGCATCACCAGTTCACGGCGACCGTGGCCGGTCCGGGACCGGGTCCGGCAGCTACCATCGAGCAGGCGGGTCAGCATTAGGACTGCCCTGTGATGCCCCAGCCCACCAACATAACAGCCGTAAGAATGACACCAATAATTAATAGCAGCAGCAACAACAACAACAACAACAACGGACACAAAACGGCAAGAATTACTGAAGGAAGGGAAGAAAAAAGAAAAAGAATGAAATTTGCAGGACGAGAAGAAAGAGCACGAACGAGAGAGCACACGCTAATCGCCGCTACTCCACCACACCACACCACACCACACACTCGATAAATAGATGAGATCGTTCGATCGGACCATTTTGGTTTTGTCTCTCAATCTTAGTTCCATCTCTGTCTCACACCAACCACCTAATCATATGCAATGTTGGCAAACAGTTTACATACAATCAGACAAAACAAACCAAACGTACAAACATATACAATATACATTGTAAGTGGCAGGATCAGCCTGCAGCTGCTGCAGCCCGACAACATCAACACAACGGGGTAAGAGAGAGTGCACGAGCGTAGCAGTGGCCTATATACCCTAAATACCCTAATAACTGTTTACTATATGCATCACGTATAATTCCAACGCATTCCACAGCAGGCGCAACAGGAGCCATTGCCTACAGCAGCAGCAGCAGCAACAACTGGAGCAGCAAACAGGAGCAACATCTGAGAGCAGCAGCAGCACTTTATCATCGCCATGCCATCCTCGACCTCCATGATGAGGTAACGAATCAAAAGATTAAACAAAAAGATCAAGAGTGACAGAACGTTGATAAATATTAGTTATAGTTTCCCCACACTCGCATGTTCTTTTGAATGCTTTGGAACGCTCGGTTAAGTAGGGTTTTTACTTTTCGGAACACAGCACAGCAGACGCGAATCTAAAACAAAAAATTATACACAAAATTATTCTTTATTTTTTTTTTAATGTGTAAACCAAAACCAAACCTACACAAAACACACAACACACACACACACACACGCACACAGTTATACCGTTAATTACAAGAGTGATATTCATGTATAATCATGTAACAAAAGAAACAAAAATACCATAAAAATTAATTTTTTAAAGACTTTTCATATGATGGAAGGGGGGAACTCCCCTGGAGTCCTCCTTTCAAAACCGATTTGGTTGGTTAGGAAAAAATTAACGGTTTGCTTCTAAACAAAAAATAAATGCCACCAATAAAATAAATAGTGTGTTCTTTGCAACAAACACAAAACAAAATTTGCAACAACAAAAAAACACAAACAATTACAACAAAATGAAAACCGATCGAAAAATTCGACAAAAAATAATGCAAGCTAGCTAGCTAGGGACATACATATTTTGGCCAACAAATAATAAAAAAAAAAAATTATAATAATAATAATAACAAAATGAAATGAAAATAAACCCGAAACGAATTTGGCCAAAGGTTGAGGACAAGCAGCGCTGCTTTGGTAAAAAGTATGTAGAACAAAAAACGAAACCAGAAACCAGCAAAGAAATGGATAATACACAACAAAATCGAAAGAAATACACACACACACATACATGTACACCAAAACGCACGCATATTACGGTTATCGTTTAGTTTCCGTTTAGTTTTTGACGGCATATTCATATAAAGAAATTATTATGCCAAATGCCCCCGATTCAAGCTTGATTTAAATGATGAAGATTGCAACACAACAAAAATACTCATTTTTGAAACGAATTCGATTGCCGAACCAAACCCCAAACCCCAACCCCAATCCTAAACTGAACCCAAAACCCAACCCAACCGAATCCCATTCCCCAATATTCCCCCCACAACATTCGCCTAAATTAATGATGTTTTTTCAAAAGTTCTATGCAAATACTTGAAAACAAAAATGAAACGACTAAGAAGCAAGAAGAAATTTAAAGCAGATACAAAAAATTTCAATTTCAAACTATTCCAAGTTCAACACGAGAATTGAGTCGCAAGAACGGGAAAAAAAAGAACGTATTAAAAAAGAAAAGAAAAGCCACATTCATCCATAAAAAACAAGTCAAGCGAAAACGAAACGAAAAAGAAGAAAAAGAGTACATATATTCGATGCAGTAGAGAAAATTGTGGAGAATCGAATGAATATAAAATGATAATGATAATACAGTACAGCCAACATTATGCATATTCCAGATTATTCCAATTGAATAATTTTCCTTTTAAACGAATTTTTTTTTTGATTTTGGTTTTTGAGTTCGTGTTCGAGTTCTGTTACGATTTTTTTTTTTTTCTTTTCCGATTTCGATGATAACACAAGAGTACAAGAGTCAAGAGTCGTTGAAGTAGCAGCAGTGTAAGAGGCGATAGATAGCAGCAGCTCCAGCGCCAGCTTCAGTAATACACGGTTAGCACGAAATCAGGCACATACATATAATTATGTATACCACCAGAGTGGGGCCTTAAGCATGTCTGTCGTATGTCCAGTTTGTCTGCTGGCCAAATCGATCATCAGCAATCAGCATCACCACCCACATTTTTCTATCCACAAATCAGTACAAAAAGATGACGGAAACATTTTTTTTTTTTCATTTAGCCGTAGGACAGAACAGAAACAAGGGATTATACAACAACAAAAGAAACAAAACAAAAAGTGAAAAAAATTTACAAATAGTCGAAGAATCATGTAGATTAAATTATATACTACATAATATTCGTATATGTATATTCGTTAGCCGAACCAAGTTTCCTTGAAACATTTTCTCATTTTTAGTTGTCTATATACATACATACATACATACACACTATGTTTCTGTTTAGTAAATAGCAAAAAGGCAAAAAGAGGGAGTAGGAGGAGGGTTAATGTATGTATATACAATATACACATTTATTGTATTATTGCACAACTCTCGTATGTATCGATCGTATCGTAATGCCAGCACACAAGGATCTCTTTGGAAACAAAACCAATATGATGGGAATGGAAAAATAGATTTTTGTACAAACAAATAGATACTTAGGAAGAAGCATGGATAGATGGATGGATGGGTATAGGAGGGATATCATTTCGTTGAATACTTTTTGGGGGTCTTACATACATAATGTTATTTTGAGTTATCGTTTTGAAGTCATTTGAAATGGGTTTTTGCTCCGGGAGTACATATATAGACAGGGTCCACTGAAACACTTTGATTACTATTATTATTATTATTCTTTGTATGTAGCGATGGATGGATGGATGGATGAGAGTGTTAACGCCTCGAGTATACATACACATACATACATATGACAGACATATGGGCGGGTGTAAGGAGAGATGGTTTATATTTTTTTTTTATTATTTCTTATTCTTAATTATTATTTTGATGCAACCGAATTGTGATGATGTGATAGACTTATATAAACAAACAAAAATACAAAAAAAAATACCAATTAATAACCAAGTTTAAATGCAGTTTAGCAGAGCCAAACCGCTGCAGATGAATATGAGAATACGAAAATATGAATATTAATATGGATATATGTTATGTATTTGTATTATTGTCGTTGTCGCTAAATAGACAATGTTTGATGGCTATGGCTATGACTATATATATGTATTATGGATGACTTGAGGCATACATTCTTTTTTGAAGAAATAAAACTATAGAGCGCGATATTTGTATTGTATTTATCTATAAGTTGTTGTGTACACACTACGAGACGGGGAAAACAAACAAAAAAAAACCAAAAACAACAAATGACAGACCCATAACCAAACAAACGAAAAACAAAAAAATGGAAAAACACATAAAACACGAAAAAATGAGAAAAAAAGAGCAAAAGCCGTTGAAACTGATAAAATTTAAGAGAGTTACTAAAACTGAAAAACCCCACAGACTAAACAAAAAAAAAAGAAACAAAAAAGAAAACGAAATGAAAGAGATAACAAAAACGAAAAGAAATTCCAATCCTCCAAAGGGATCGGAATTATTTTGTGTGTTGTTAATTTCCTTTTGTAAGTTGGGGCACACTCTTCCTCCTTGTCTTGATCGCTCTCTCTCTCTCTCTCTCTCTCTCTTTATCTGTCACTTACTTCGTCTGTCTCCCTCTCTCTCTCTCTCTCGCACTATCCCAGTCCTAGTCTCTCACTCTTCTTAATGATTTATGTATATATATGTACATATACAAGGACGATCGTGTATCGCAGATCCATATATACATACATACATATATTTTTGAAAGTATAGAAATGCAACTTTTGAAAAAATTCAACCAAAAAAGTAAAAAAACGTAACTAAGAACCAAAAACAAATTGAACTCAATTGCTTGAGTGCCGCGCCGCGTCGCGTCGCGTAATCGTTTCGCATGTGTTCAGGAGCTTTTCCAAAAGAAGCAAAAAAAAAGAAAAAACACAAAGACAAAACAAAACAAAAAACACGAGAAATTAAAAGAAAGAAGACCAGACCCCCGTTATTTCGATATTTTTCTTTGTACAACACTGTTTTATGTTCTTAGCGAAAAACGCATAAATCTTAAATCGTTTTCCCACGCTTATTTGGTTTTTGGCGTTGTAGCTGTTGTTTTTGTTTTCTTACGTTTTCTTGATTTTAGTTTCGATTCAGTTAAGCATTTTTTCCTTTTGTCAACAAAAAAGAAAAGAAAAACCAATATATATGTACATAATATGCATGCATGCAATGTGTGCATGCCTAGCCAGAAGCTGCCAGAGCCTGGGCTGTAAAAAAACAAAACTAAAAAAAAGGTGAATTGCATTTACCGTTATGATAGCGCGCGCGCGCTCTCGCACAAGTGCCAAAAATGCAAAAAGAGAACGCGAAGAAACTCACACACATGCCCACACACACACACACACACACACACACCAACATGCAAACACATTATGAAACATACCCAAAAAGCATACTTTTAAACGCCAAAGTTAGGAGTGGCTTTTGAGGGTACTACGGATACAGTTGATGATTGAATTTTTGGCAATGTGGCCCAAGCAGCATTAACAATTGTTGACAGTTAACAGAACAATTGTTGTTGCCATTGTTGATTTAAGAATATGTTTTGATGTAGCAGATGGAATAAAGGCAGCAGCAGTGTAAGTTATACATACATACAATACATACATACATATATGCAAATTTGTATTCGGCCACTAATTGAAGCAGAAAGTTAAAGCGTAAACGTCAAAGAGTGGAACGTAAAAAAAGTAAACCAAAACCCATTGTGATACAGCTGCAAAAGAAACAAAAACAAAACTAAACAATAAACAAAAACACGTTAGGAACCATAACAAAATGGTTTAATTGTCATTTAAATAATTTTATTTCGATAGCAATTCCCAAAAAAAAGGAACCTACTAAATCGAATCTATTATGAATTCAATCAATCAAAAAACAAAGCAAGCCAACAATTTATCCAAAACTAGTTTAAAAACGAAACGAAAGAAATCCACAAGCACACGCAACACACACACACACACACAGATATTTTTGTTTGATTTCGAATAAAGTTATGTAATATGTGCGAATTTTTCTAGATTTTCATTTGTTGTATAGAGCAATGCAAAAATTGTTTAGCTGAAAGTTTGAGGGGAAAATTCAAATTCTTAGCCATTTTGAGGAAGAGATGCGTGCATTTAGAAGATGTTAAGCAGCCAAACGAAACATGGAGTACGGAGTAATTTCAAAATCGTTAGCTTTATATTAACCACTTTCCCACATACAGACAGATAGACATAGTACATAGCTGGTGGATCGGTGGACAAGAAGTATTTGGATTCGCAATTTGCAATCGATGCAAAATTATTATATGAGAAGCTGGGCAAAAACATGTTTCAAGTAAATGTTAACAGCTAAGAGTTAAGCACACACACACACACACCACCTACGTATATTTAAACACATTATTAATAATTATAAAAAAAGCAATATATATATACATATATATATACATATATATATATATATATATATACACACACCATTTACATGCATATATGTACATACATATATGTATGTGTATGTATATTATGCAATTTAATGCATATATTCGAAAAGAGTTGATTCGCCCGCCTCGCCTCGCCTCGCCTGAATTCAATTTGGAATTTTGCGAGCAGCATACCGAAAGCGGAATTAAGGAGAAACTAATGAAGAAATCTAAATTGTAATCAATTTATCTTATGTACTAGTTATTAGGCAACACGAACACCCACACACACACACACACCCCTATTCCCTCGTTTCCCCACAGCCCACAACCAAACGCCTTTCCCCTAGACTCACCACCCACACATCCTCCATTTCCCATTCCCCACCAGTCGACTAATGTTGAACACAACACCGTATAAAATGCATCAATATGTAATATGTAACGATCATGTTTACAGCAAGCAAAATGGATATCTTCTTTGTAATAAACAAACAAAAAAAAAAACAACACTTAAATTCACAGATTTATTCAATTGTGTTTTTTATATATTTGGGGGCGGTTTCTTATGTAATTATGTTATTATGTACGTAAACAAAAAGAGCATGTCCTTGCTCATCACAACCTGCTTCGAGATGTATTGTATTCTTCTTATTTTTATGGGAATGAGTATGAGAATGAGAAACAGCGTCACATCACATCTCCAAATCTGATTCTAGGGGCTCGTTATTTAGGGCCTTTATGTGTGTGCCGTACGCCAATTGGTCCTTGATCTGGCGCACTGCCGCCTCAGCAGTACCAAAGTGGAATGTGTCCATAAAGAGACGTACAATCCACAATGGCAATAGAGCGTTGATCAACAACGATGCATATGACTGTCAATCGAGAAGGGTTCAGTTCAGTTCAGCTCAGATATTATTACAATGTTTTTTCCAGTGGCACACTTACTGTTTCGCCGCCATACACTTCACCCAGTTTTGCGAGCATGGCTTCTGATATGTTGCGTTTGACTATGTCTATTATGTGCACATGCTGTATAGTCATAAAATGATCAGTTCTAAATGTGCGATGCACAGCAAAGAATTGATCCAGGTCGCTTTTGTACTTGGAGAATGTATTCAATACATCTTCTTTGCCCATTTCATTCATTAGACTGTAGAAGAACATTTTAGCTGTAGGCAAATGCACAACGTTTCAGTGTAACCCAAAAACTTACAGAATGTCCACCTGACGCGGAGCTGGAGCATTAGCTAAAATATTTGCAAGTGCAGCGAGCGCACGGATATTAATATTAATAGCATTCTCTTTGGCAGTGCCTTTCTTCACGATATCAGAATCCAATTTAGCCGTCTTTTTCTTCCTGCGAGTGCATTAGCATTAAGGCGTTAATTCGAAACATAAATTGTTGCTAGGCTGTGATACTTACTCCGATTCTGGTTTATGCGACCGTTTGGTTGAAGAGCGACCGCTCGTCGAGGCTTTATCCTTGTCAAAATATTGTGCAATAGATTTCTGAGAGCTGTGCATTTTTTTGTCAGACTTGCTCGTCTTGCGAGTCCGTTTTACATTTTTGTCACTGTAAGAAATTTCAATTAGTTCGCAACATTTCATGAATCAAGTTTTGAGGGGGCCTTACATTGAACGTGAGCTATGCTTCCGTTTGGTTGGTTTATTTTCACGTGATGAGTGACTGCGCTTCGAGTAATTTTCTTTCTCAGTATCTTCAGATGTGGATCCCTGAGCTTTTCTTGTCTGTTTGGTTTTTTTATTTTCACGAGAACCCTGGCCGTGGCTGGAACGCCCATGTTTACGTTTTTGCGCATCATGAACGCTGTAAGAAATGTGCACAACAGTTGTGGAGTTGTTTTATGTAACTCACACACAAACACACACACCTGGCTTTTGAAGTTGCGAACTCGTGGACTTTGTCGGCGCTGTCGATTCCCTTTTTCATAGGGGTAGTAGCTTCTACTGGCGGAATAAATTCGAGCTGTACATTCAAATACAAATCATCTTCCGAGAGCGTAGCTCCAGGTAAAAGTTTATGGGAATATGAGTGACGATTTTCTGTGGAATCGACTCGCAATTTTATGTTCCCTATGAGGAGCCCCGCGTGCAAAGTTTGTACCGGCTGCTGCTTCTGCTTCTCGAACAGGCCCCACAGGCGACTCTCCACTTCAATCCAGCTGGCAAGGGTCATCCAGTGGTAAGTATTTAATTTTTTGCCACAATGGATGACCATTTTTGGCCGCACAGTGATGCGGCAAATGATGTGTTGCATTTTATACTAGAAAACGAATAGTAAATTATGTAAATACCGCATGGCGGTCCTACACCACCTACCTGGTAGGTTTGCAGCACAATTTGGCATTTGCCGGTGGCATTGAAATCCATTTTTTACAAAAAATTTCTCCGCTTCTATAGAAAAAACAGTGCTCGCACGCTGAACGCTACGATAGAAATGAAGGATTTGTGAATTCTAAACCAGAGGTGTCAAACCAACGACAAAGCAAAGCACTGCTACTATCGATAGTACATAGTATCGGTTCTTGGCCACAAACACTCTGAACAACTATCGATGTATCTGTAGTAATATCGGTATTTCTTCATCTCTATTCAAGAACGACGAACGAAATGGTGTAGAAAGAATTTCGTCAAAATTTTAAGTATAGATATTATCGTAGAATTCGACAGTGACGCGCCAAGATGAGCTACGCGGTGCCATCAATGTTTCCCCTGCATCCCAAAATGGATGAGCAGGTGGCTCGGGCATTTTCCGCCAACGAGGATGAGGAAGAACAGCACATTCAGAAGGTTCAGAATGCCTTTCTGTACTATGGGTGAGTGTGTTGTGTTTGCTTCAGCTTCTGCTGTGAATGAAATGGAAATCAGTAGCCACAGGTGTACGGTTGGTGGCCCGTCTCGGATTTGGTGAAGTAGTGTGGGGGTGAAGAAGCGCCAGTGACACTGTGACATGTGCAGACAAGTCTGCCGGCAGCTCAACAAATAACCGTAGTTTTGCGCTGCGTGTGGGTGCATGTGCATGTTTGTGCGCGTGTGCGTGCATGTGTGTGCGTATGTTGTTTGTGTGAACGATAAGCTTGCATGTTTGTTCTTGCACTACGGGGACATACATGTCCCAATATGTATGATAATGCGTAACCGCCGTACACGCGGCGGCGTCAATGACTGATAATGAAAATCAATTAATTTATCTGGCTCTACCCACAGAGCATATGCATGCAAGCGACTGAGAAGGACACTGGATTACCTAGACAGCCTGCCAGCCGATGATCAGCGTCTGCTCTCCAAATATCGTGCCCATCTGGACTGTGTACACACGTGCATTGATCGCAATCAGGCGGTCATTCGACAGATTCTGCGCGAACGTCTGCTCTATCCGGCGGATGGCTCTGGCAGTCCCACATCAGAGGCTGACAGCGAGTTTGTTGAGCCGCCTGCGCACGTACGACATGGCGACATGGATCAGGTCAGCCAACCCCAGCCTCAGTCCCAAGCGAGCAGGATTTCCATTTCCTCTCTCTCTCTCTCTCTTCCTCTTCCTTTGCTACTGTCCTCTGTCCACTGCTTTGTGCATCTGTCTGACCCTCTGAAATTTCTGCTGATCTATAACTGATTCGGAATTCGAAACAAAATCTTTACATGTGCATGTGATGTGTGCATCCATCTCACCCCAAAAACTATCCCCACCTGATCCCGAACCTGAACCTGAACCTGAACCTGAATCTGAAAGCGCAGTATGATTTTGTTCTTGATGATGCTGATGTTGAACCTCTAAAAATTTTAAAGGCCCAATCGACATTGAAGTTGATTGCGCGCGACTGGAGCACGGACGGCGCCCTGGAGCGTGAGCAATCCTACAAGCCGATCATTGACAGCATCACGGAGTACTATAAGCCGAGCGAATAGTGAGTAATCCCACCATACCAGCCATCACCACGTCTCCTCCACTTCTCACTCGCATTGTGTATCTCTCTGCAGCGAGCTGAACGAGATTAAGATTCTGGTGCCGGGAGCTGGCCTGGGACGGCTTACCTATGAACTGGCCTGCCTGGGCTACTCATGCGAGGGCAATGAATTCTCCTACTTTATGCTGATTGCCTCCAATTTTGTCCTGAATCTGTGCGTAACATTTTTAGTCTCACATTCCCCCACCCCCACACACAGCCGCAACATCTTCACATCTTCACGTCCGTTTTTGCAGATGCGACTATGAGAACAAGTATGTGCTGTACCCGTGGGTGCATCAGTATGTGAACAATCTGAGGCGCGAGGATCAGGTGGCCGCTGTGCGTTTCCCCGACGTTTGCCCGCTCAAGAATCCGCCCAAAGGCAATATAGAGATGGCGGCCGGCGACTTTCTAGAGGTCTACAAGACACCGCACAGCTACAACTGTGTGGCCACGTGCTTCTTTATTGATTGTGCGAACAATGTCATCGATTTCATACGAACCATCTACAAGTAAATACACATCGCCCGCTTCTTTCTACTAGCCTCATTTCGTTTTCTGATGAAATTCTCCTCCTGCTCCTCTCGCTCTCTCACTTTCGCTTTGCAGAATCCTCGTCCCAGGCGGCATCTGGGTGAATCTCGGCCCCCTGCTCTACCACTACAGCGATGTTAATGGCCAGAATAGCATCGAGCCCACATACGAGGATCTGTGCATCATAATTGAGAGCGTTGGCTTTGTGATTGAGTGCTCGCGATCGGGCATTCACACAAAATACGCCCAGAATCCGTCATCGATGAAACAGAGCGAATATCAGAGCCTGTTCTGGGTGTGTCGCAAGCCGGGCCCCTACGAGGAGCAATGCGGCAAAATGAACTCCAAGTCCAAGGGATCCAAGGAGCCACATGATCTGATAATGCGCGAGGACAACGACATGGAGGAGGTGATTATCGTTAATCAATACGACGATGCAAATGCAAATGCAATTGAGACGCCGCAAAATGAGACTGAGACGAACGACGCCGCCACACCACAAACGTGATACGAGAGAATCGAAAAGAAGAGGAAGAATCCTGGCTAAATCCCCAAAAAAACCATGTTCGAAAACCCACCTACCAGATGCCATAGCCAAAACGTCACAGACGACAGTCGACACGTATCCGTCGTCACTCGAATCGACACACACACACACACACACACACAGAAGGTTCAAATAAAGGTTTAATAATGTATTTCCGTATATATTTATGTATATCTATCTGGCCATCTGTCTAATTGATATCATTGCCAAAGTTACGCCAACTCTCGGCCCGCCACTGGCAGCGTGGATCCAGATGGCGATGCTTGATCTCCGCATAGATCTTCTCAAAGTGCGGCGTCGCCCGGCGTACACACTCCGCCAGCAGCTCAAACCAAATGGCCTCGCTCAGATCGTTGCTCTGGCACATGGAGACGCGCGTTGTGCTGAATACACGCTCGCGAAACTGGCGCACCAGCTCGCCCAGGCAGGCATGGTGGGCCGTCGCCCCGTTGCCAGACACCTCCGGCAGCAGGAAGCTGTTCAGGCAGCGGGCATCGCCGCGGCCCCGATAGATGTGCAATCCGGTGTGGCCAAACAGATGGACCAGCTGCTTGTCGAGTCGCTCGCGCTGACGTGGCTCAAAGTCCTGGCGATGGGCGCGTGTGCGCACAAACATCACATGGGGCAGGTAGTCGCGAACGTAGCCCTTGCAGGGGAAGCGCGGTCGCAGCCGCAGGGCGGTGTGCAGCAAATGCAGCTGCTCGAGACTCACTTCGTCGATGGCCAGCAGCAGGATGTGGCAGATGCTGAGCATTTGCGACATGGGGGCCAGGGAGTGCAGCTCCAGGTAATCGGCGTCCTTACCGTTGGCCACCAGCAGCGGCGGCGTGTCCAACAGAATGAAGCGCTCCCGGGTGATGAAGAACTGCAGCGCCTCGGTGCGCGGTCGCATGATGCTCTTCTGGCTGTGGGCGGAGGAGGGCTTCGTCTTCTGCCTTGTGTGGAATGTGCACTCGTCCGCCTCTGGGCCGAACAGGTGCTGATAGTAGTCGTAGTCCAGGGGCCGCTCGCAGGCCAGCAGATTGAGCAGCGTGGACTTTCCCACACCCTGACCACCCAGCACACCAACCACAGTGAAGTCTGTGTTTGTCTTGTGGAAGAGCTTGCGGGCATTGGCATTGAACACTCCGTTTGACACTATCAGAGGGGTGGTTCGCGTCATCCGTGGTGGCTGAAGCTCTTGGCCTGGCAGGAGGGCGGCTCCAGATCCGGAGCCCGAGCTGCTCTTCTCCCGATCGCTGGACGGGGCACTGGCCAGGGCGGCGCAAACTGATGTGCTGGGTACGGGGACGGCTGACGGCGGCATGCATCCGGCTGGGCCGGCTGAGGGCTTGCACTTATCGGAGCGCCCATCGCTGCAGCGATTGATGATGACCGTCTTGGGGAAGCATGGCAGGTCTTGGTTACTGCTATTCCTGCAAGGATCCGACCCAATGTCCTTCTTGAGCAGTATTTTCGGCTGGACGGGGCGTGGATCCTCACGACGAGCAATGGTGACCGGCGCTGCCTGTCCTCCTCCCTGCATGGGACGCATATCATCCCGCTTCTTATTCCGGTAGCGCCTGCGGGCGTCAGACATTGCAAATAAGATGTTAAAAATTTAAATTATTTCAAACTTTGCACGTTCAGCGATTGACAGCTGTTTACCCCGAACAACTGGGCCGATAACAAGCTGTCTAGCCATCGATAGGAAGTCAGCTGTAAAGTGGGAATTTACCAGCACTGCAGCGCAGGCGTGCACAAGAATATTATATTTATTTATTAAACTTATCATGCCAATTGTTGTGATCACGGGTCTGCCGGCCAGCGGCAAGTCCACGAGAGCTCGCCAGCTTCAGGAGCACCTCGCCGGCCTGGGAAAGAAGGTGCATCTAATCAGCGAGAACGAGGCGGTGCCCAAGGCTCTGTTCGAGAAGAACTCCTTCTTCGGGGACTCGCAAAAGGAGAAAGTGGTGCGCAGCGACCTCAAGTCGGAAGCGTTGCGCCACCTCAACAAGGAGGATGTTGTCATACTGGACGCTGGAAACTACATAAAGGGTGAGAACCTCGAATACCGCCGCCTGCTTCAAGTGTCTTATCCTGATTGATTCACCGCAGGCTATCGCTACGAGTTGTACTGCATCACGAAGTCGGCGCGGACCACGCAGTGCACACTCTTCTGCTGCATACCACAGGAGCAGGCATGGTCATTTAACGGACAGCGCCTGGAGCCGGACGAGCTACCGGGCGACGGGCAGACGACGCAGCTGCTTAACAACTCGAATGTGCCATACACCCGCGAGATCTTCGATGCCCTATGCATGCGCTATGAAGAGCCAAACAGCAATAGCCGCTGGGACAGTCCACTCACGGTGGCCCTACCCGAAGACAAGCTCGACGTGGAGGGCATCTACAAGGCCCTGTACGAGACCGCGCCACTGCCGCCCAACCAGAGCACCCAGAACGTAGGTCAACCCTAGTTCATCGACCATTCGATTCAAAGTCTAACCCCGAATAATTCTCTTCGTTATTCAGCCGCCTCTCTGCGCCACCAACTACCTCTTTGAACTGGACACCATCATGCAGGCAATCATCAAAGAGATTCTGGGCGCCATCAAGATCAAGGCCTTCGGCCAGCTGCGCATCCAGGGCAGCACTAGCCCGGTCAAGGTCACCACCACGATGAACGCTATCCAGCTGAACCGACTGCGGCAGAAGTTCATTACGAGCCGGTGTCGGGCCTCCCAAACGGCCGCCACTCCGTTGGCCCAGGTGCCTCAGATGTTTGTCCAGTTCATCAATGCCAACACGATTGGCTGCTAGGCTGCTGCTCCATTTCGCCTGTGATTTCCGTGCTGTTTTCTTTACATTTTCTTTCCAATAAAACATAATTTCTTTGAGAAACTAAAGAAATGTAATACCGAGATTATAATGCGTGTCGTGACCACTCAGAATCACGAATGACCCCAATTTGATTTTTGCCTCGACCAATTTAAGCGGGTTTTTTTTTAATTCGAAAATTTTAAAAGGATTTTTTGTCTTGTCTTTGGCCGAGCTGAAATATCATTTGCGAAACATTGTGGCCCCTTTGATCCCAGCTCAACATCATTTTCAAGCCAATCCTGAGGTTCGTTTTTATACCCCGCTCTTTCCTTACCCCCAATAGCAAAGGTGGCACCACAAAATATTTATTAATTACCCATTTTTGGAATTATATTTTGTTATGAGTTTATGGAAAACAAATAAACTTATTGTAAGCAATTTAGCTTTTCTAGTTTTATTTTTGTTTATACAAAATTACCGAAAAATCTGTACAAACGTATGATTCCAAGTATATGACTATAATTTTAAAAATATTTGTATGGAATTTTGTTTCAAAAATCGATTTAGCTGAAACAAAAAATATAAAATTGACAAGTAGGATAACATGTGCGAAAACCACTGACTAGAGAAGTCACAAATACATAGAACTTCAGAGCACGGCTTTTTATTTATTTTTTTTTTGCTTGGTTTATGTAGAATGTATATATTGCTATTGTAATACTATTTTATGGCATTTATGGCATTTAAATTGTGGCGTTAAGTTTTATTCGTACATCGAAGAAAATAATGAACAAGTCCAATTTTGAAAAAAATGTTTTATCTTAATTAGGTGGCCCTATATTCACCTAAGTAAATAAAATAAAATAATGACATTAACTTAAGTTACGGGCTTAAAGATATAAGCCAAAATATGACCTGACGTAACGTTACCAAAAATTGAAGTGCCTTTTGAGGTTAAGGTAAAACATTTCAGAACTCTGCGAATCGGGTAGCACCATCTTTAGACCACATTTTTTGTGCATATGTATAAATATATGTAAAAACGTTTCCAGTTTTATTGTATTAAGTCAGCAAAAATCAGTTACCAAATTCCGCGGTAATAAAAGTTAAAAAACATCGTTTGCCGAGATTGGGCAAATTTTCTGGTAATATTTGTTTAATGTGTTAGAGAGGCTCTATGGATTAAATTTGATTAAGATTCATTTTTATTATTGGAGATATACAATTGTGTTCAATGATGTGCGATCATCACTTCACTTTTTTGAGCACTTCCAGTATCCAATGACTACCTTTTTAAGCTGACGTACCATTAGCCGAGGCAATTCATTTGATTCCATTGTTTTACAGCGCGACCCAGTGGTTCATGAGTAGGTTTTTTACATTGCCGACCATAAATTTTCAGTTTCATGTTTCCTGTTTGTTTTTAGTCAATTTGGTTTTCATTCGAACTTGCACCAGCCGGATATGGGTCATTAATCCTGCCACGCTTCAATGGTTGACCAATAATCCATGCACTTGCTACTTGGCTGCACGGTTTGAGTTGCAATAATGTTTTGGTTTCCCCATAAGTTTCGATGGATTATATCCAGTTGGCAGTGGCCATGGCGCGATCTTTCCGATAATCAATTCCTAGCGGTTTTATGGGGTTTCGTCATTATCTGGTTTATCCTTTTCGGATTTTTCAACTGTATATGTGTTGTTTCTTAGCCCCCAGTTTTGTCCCATACTATACTCCGCCAGGCCAGGTACTGCCATATGGCTGGGCCCCTGGCCAGCCTAGCTGCCCATGTAATTTTTTCATGTTTTAGGTGGTAATCGGTTCTGTGTGCCAACTTCTTTTCAGTTTATCTTCCATATAATCAACTTTACTATCTTTAGTCAGTTTTTTGTCACTGTGACACAGGCCATTCCACATGCGTTTTCCAAACTGGTCGTGCACCCGCTCTTAGACCCAAACGCGGTGCTTCTGGGCCTTGCATTCAATAATGTGTAATCACCGTCTAGAACCGCACATCACTGCGGCGATTATTTTTTTCATATTTTGGTTGGCCTGGTCTTGCCTTCGACCATCGCCGACCATCCTCTTTTTTCGCATCAAAATGTTTCCAGTCTACTTCTTTTGTTTTGGGTTATCAATGTGGGTGCCTACACTTAGTTTTCAATCCCATTCTCCTGCCTTAAGTTTTTAGTCTAAATCTCCCCTCTTCTGGACCGAGCAATGATTTCTTCAACGCCTCAAAATCAAAGTACCGCTTGTCCAACTTTCTTTCATCAAATTATTCATAACCAAATTGAGCTTCGGTTATTTAAATTAATTTGCTTTGTTTTTTCATTTTTATATTTAACCCACACTACTATTTCATTGCAGCAGATATCATGGGTAGTTGTCTAGTCTAATAACGAAGATAGATTCAAATGTAATGGGGTTTCTTCAGTTTCTAATGCTTACATTCCAGGCTTTCCGTGGTATCACTTGTTCAATGGAGACTAGTTCTCAGGGTTTCGAGTGATGGGTGGGCACTACTATTTCATTGAACACAACTGTACATATGTATAATAAAGGGAAACATGTCTATTAAAATATTCTATGTAAGCAAAAAGTGAAATTGTGCTTATTTTAATAATTTTGTTATTTTTAAGGTAATGATGAATTATTTTTAAACTGGTTAAATTAGTTAAATTTCAAATAAAAAATTTGCCGTGACAAAAGTATATGTAAATCGATGTTCACTAACTTTTAATGTTTTAAATTTGGCGGAAATGCCCATAAACGATATGTTTTTCTTCCCTGAATACCAATTTTAAATCAAACGGTCACTGCAACAAAATGTAAAGAAGAGAAAGAGGAACCGAAAGAGAAAAGTATGCAACATTTATGGCGTTCGGTGGCAGCAGCGTGAACTTCAAGTGAATGAACTTTTCTCTTATTGTTTTTGTTTTTCCGCATGGTTCACTTACACGGCCCTGCTCACGCACACCACCAAAGCAAGCTCTCTCTTAAGAGCTACACTCTTAGGACGCCACAAGCGCTCTCTTAGAATAATTTTTTTCACATCAAAATTATATGTTTTTTATGAAAAAAAAATTGGTTAATCAATTTGAATCTTTGTTAGGATTATGGTTTATTTTAAGCTAAATCATTTGTGTTTTTCCATTTGAAGAGCGCACCCTCTGCTCTTTACATTCACCGTTTTTGGAAGAGAGAGATTGAATACTAGAAAGAGCAGAGATTGCTCAAGTGAGACGCAAAAATGAGTTGCACGTTCTCTTCGGTCGGATCCAAGGTATGGACAGTGAGCAAAAACGGCCCAGCAACATTCCAAGGCTGCTACGAAACCCACCCTACCGGATTTGATCCACAATATGCCATGATTGTGTCAACATTTGCATGGTATGTTAACTATTATGGTGGTGTTTCCGTGCATGCGCCGATTGTTCTGGACCGTATTCTGCCTGTTGTCCATACCCTCGCTTACCTTACCGGCACCAAATTTTCCAGCAACATGCTGCCGGGCAACACTTTTGGGCGCCAGCAACACTTGGAGGCGGGGCGGGCGTTTTTGAAACGGCCTTGCTCGTGAACATGATTAAACATGTCCAAACCGTTCGAAGTCAGCCAGTTTGTCGCACCGCCGTTTTCCCGGTTCCCGCTTTCCACCTCACACTCACTCACTCTGCGTGTATGCGTTTTTGCGTGCTTGTGTGTGTGTGTGTGTGCTGGCCTCTGTTGTGGGTTAACAGTATTTTTTTTAAGTTTTTGTTGATGCCTCTTATGGTTCCATAGTTCTGCCATATACATATGTATAACCGCCCCCACCCCCACCCGCTGCAAATAAGTTGCAAATGCCACAGATTGGATATGCCGCCAAAGTGCAGCAAAACAGTGCAGTGTGTGTGTGTGTGTGTCAAGCAATGAAGCAATATTATCAATAATAATAATAATAATCGAAGTAATAGCACAAGTGGAGATCGGTGGAAAGAGAGAAGAGATATTGGGGCACACCTCCTGCCTGCCCGGCTCTTGCCAGTTGCTTTGTTTTTGTTTAGTGTTGGATCTCTTTCGGCGTTTTTGGGCAAGGACGCAGCCCAAAGCAATGGTGGCCCAATGCAAATCCAATTGACATTCTTCTCTTCTTCCAAAATTAACCGCCTCCAAAATTAACCGTAATTTTTTTTTTTCTTTTTTCCTTTCTCTGTGTGTGCGTGTGTGTACATGTGCGTGTGCAGCCAACAACAGCAACAAAAGCAACAACAACAAAATTGTTTAATTGAAAATGAATAAATAAATGAAAATTGTGCAAAAGTATAAGGAAGAAAATCAACAGCTGCTGCATCTGCTGAAATTTACACCAAAATAAAAGGGTTTTTCCCTCCCAAAAATCTGATCTGATCTGCAAAATAAACGTAAAGTGAATCCCTTAAAAATATGCAAAATAAAAAGAAAAGGGATCCCCCCCAAAGAATATATACAAATACAAGAAAAGTAAACCTCTAAAATATACATACATATATTATACAAATAAAATACGATTTTAAGTGACAATGTTCTCAGCCCCAAAAGAGTTATTAACCCTTAAAAATATACAATAATAAAAAGTTCGGAGAAAACTTCAACAAAAATTGCTCTCAAAGAAAAAAGAAAGAAAGTGCTCAAAAAAATGTACTTCAAAACCTGAAGGAAATTATCCAAAAATACAACACAAAAAAGAAAGAACGTGAAAACCTAAAAATAAAAAATAAAAAAAAGTTTCTCCAAAGAAAATAAGAAATGAATAGGAAGCAAAACATGACGAAAAAGTGTTAAAAGAAGAAGCAGTCGAAAAATAAGGAATGAGAATGATGAAAAAGTGTTATCCAAAGGAAGAAACCTAAAAAGATTTATTTCTAGCATATTACTATAATATTACTATTAAATAAAAAGAGAGATAGAGAAAGAGTGAGAGAACTTTCTCTGCAAATGTGTACGCGTGTGACTGCTTTGGGTGGGTAAAACTACAAACTGAAAGTGCTTGGTGGCATTAATATGGATAGCGTGCCACCACCATACCATCATCATCATCTTCAGAATCAGAATCAGCATCTGCACCAGCATCAATCAGCAGCATCAACGGCAGCTTTATAGCAACGGATCCACGTATCACCTGGCCATCACAGGAGCGCTAGCAGGCCACAAAGATGCCACCCCTGCAACGTGAACAATTGATGTAAGTCCCCACAATAAGCAAAATATTATCGATTTACATATAGTCCCAAAGGGAACGCATAATGATACCTTGTAACAGAGGGACCCCACCCCACCAAGCCCTACTTTGGAATACAATGCCATGTCGGGTGGCTCTACCCCTTGTTAGTCTTACATCAATCGAAATTCACTCCTTCAGGTGATCAATGTCCTGTTAAGATTGGCACTTTTTAGGCATAAATAATGTAATAAATGCTGAAAGAAAACTGAACTCAAGATAACCACACACAAATTGCAGAATGATGAGATCGTTAGAAGAATTATGTATAATAAAAAGAAGAGATAGAAATTATAGAATAGAAATGGGGATTAATGTGAAGGTGACTTTCCATTTTTGAAAGCTCCAAAGGAACCTCCATAATACGATATAGTTATATTGTTATATTGGTAAATAACTTTGCAAGTTCAAGGTAAGGTCAGAACAAGATACGAATACTATAACTGTTAGAAGGAAATGTAATATTGCTAGCTGTCCCACCGATTCTAAAAAGCATTAAAATGATATATAAAATATAAAATCAATTCACCATGATATAAGGCAGGATCTAAGGAATACTCGATCAAGAAGTATTAACTTTAAGCTGAAGCACCCAAGTAACATCCCCAATCTAAGGGAATTTCCCATTGGGGCTAACAATGTTGCAATAGTAAAGGGATTCCTCCTACTCCCCAACACGTGGATCATATTATTGAAATATTAACCAACCAATTTCAAAAATTATAGCAGTACATGTAATTGCTCCCCATTGCTCCCTGTGTGTGTGTGTGTGTGTGTTCATAGACATACGACTGGGTTAAGTTTAAGAGGGCAGGAACCGTGCGCGCTTTGTCAGCCAGCAGCCAGCAAACCCCACACCACCCCAACTCAAAAGGAGTGGGGGGCCCAAGCACATGTTAAGCCTGGTTCGTTGGCCTGGCCGAGATATTGCGCGGGGGGCGTGGAAAGAGTGGGGGGGGGGAGGAGGCCGGGTTCGCCGCTCTCTGTTTATGAATGAAACGCAACGAGGAAGCAAGCGCGCGCAAATTCAACAACATTCAGAGAAAGAGCGCGCGCCTGGTAAAGATAAGCCAGAGGAAGAAAGAGCGCGCCCGTCTCATGAAGAGTAAAGAGAGTGTACACACGAAACGAACGCAAGCAAGCAATGCGGAAAGCATTGCTCTCTCTTTAGCTGCTGCTGCTGCTGCTACTCTCTCTCTCTCCCCGGTTGCGGCGTGAGTTCATCGACCTTTGCTATTGAAATTTTTGGGCACTAATACCAACACATACACGTACTTACACACACACACACACACACTTATTTACACATTGATAAACAATCGTTGACGTTGACGTCGACGTTTCGACGATTGAACCGCAGAAAATAATTTTATATGCGTGTCGCTAATATTCGAATGCCCTTTCTGAGGAACTTTCTGCAAAGTGTTATAACTTTTTAGATACGAGAGAATTGGGAATATATTTAGTATCAATATTCAATATCGATTAAAATCGATCTATTGCAAATAAATTACAAAAATGGTTTCCGATTAGCATGTGGCGAACAGGGTATCAGCAGTGCGGTGAATGTTCGGGACAGAGCTTTATTCCCTGGTTTCTTCTTCCTGATTGCTCTCTCTCTCTCTCTCTCTCTCGGGCATTGGCTGTGTATGTTTGTGTGTGTGGGTGGGTTGGCTAACGCACGATAACAGCGCCTGAAACTCCTCTTGTGACTCCCAAGATATGGCAAATGCCTGGCAAACGGGTGGGGGGGCTGGATAGGAAAGGAGGAGGGTCATTGTTTTGCTTTGCTTTCTGCTTCTGCCACTGATTCTGGCTCTGCTGCTTCTGCTGCTGTTACCAAGTCCCAAAAGAGCGTCTGTTACTGTGTGTATCCGTGTGCATGTGTGCTAGTGTGCGTGAGGCCAATGACCAAAATGTAGTGACAAGGGCGTCAAAGAGAGACAGAGACAGACAGCGCAAGAGACAGAGAGAGAGGGGGAGAGAGAGAGAGAGATTCCAAAAAATTGCCGTATTTCGCCATTACACGAGGAGGCACCTAAAAACAAGAAAATATAAAGGGAAACGCTTTAATCTGGTTTTATTTTGTATGGGTTTTTTTTCTTCTGTTCTGGTAGGTACGTACATACATATGTACATACATACGTATAATGTACATTTTTACATACATATGTATATTAGAAGCGAGAATCTCAAGAGCAGTCCAACAACAACAACAACAACCAAACATCGACATCATCAACCACTTTACCATTCCATTCCCAGAGACACACAAAAACGTTGAACCTTCAAATTTGGTTTCAATGTCATGTAACCCCCGTTTTACAAGAGCACGCATACGCACAAACAGACACACAGACACACACGAACGCACGCACGCAGTTACATAGATATGTACATAGGTGTGAGGAGAGAGTGGAAATGGACGGGGAAGGTAAGCCGGGTAGGGCAGGGCACCCAATTATGTATAAAAATAGGGAAACATGTTAAGAAAGGGGTTGGTGCGGTGGGGGAAATGACGAAATGCCCATGCATGCACCGAAGCAAAAATTAACGGCATTCGATGCTTGTGTGTGTGTGTGTGTGTGTGTGTGGATAGTGATTGATGATGCGGTGGCTTGGCTTGGGTCATTTGGTTGCTGGCAGGCGGTGGCTTCTTCTCCAGCAGCTTTTAAACGATACGTATTTAACCAACAAACGGTATTTGAGAAAAAAACAAACCCACCTCGAGGCCCTCGCTCTCAAGTATTTTATTTGATTTCTTGTTGTTTTCTGTTCCATGCATTTAACTGCCATTGCGTTCCATTCCCCATTCGTAACATTCAATTCATCAAGGTTTTACATTCCCTAGTTGAGTTTGCATTTGTTTCGTATTCTTGCGCTGCATATTCCTGCGTTTCTTGCCATTACGGCAAGCTGCTGCTGCTGTTGTTTCATTTCATTACATTCCTGTTGGTCAAGTTTTATTTCATTACGCTCCCATGCCAATGGAAACAAACTTCAAGTTCCGTAACCGAGACAAATCCGCTGCAGTTCCTGGAATGGAAATGGAAATGTTAGTGGGAGTGTGGAAAATGCACCTGAGGAGCAGAGCATCTCAGCGTACAGCGTCTAAATGCGTTCCGAACTGCTTAAACTCGAACTCAACGCATGCCCATATGATACACCATACCCATAGATGGTCATCCTTCGTGGAATCGACTACTTTTTACATACTACCCGTACCTACTTGATGCAACAAATTGAAACATTAAGATGGCGTTGCTCCAAATATGTTGGCTATAGTGAGAATAAACTTTTATGCATACACAGAAAATGATATAGAGAGACTGAAATAGTCGTAAAAAAAAAATTTTACGAAAACCGGAGCGCACACAATTTCAAATCGTACGAATTGTTCCAAAATTGTAATCGCAAAAATTTACGAAAGCCGGAGCATAGCGGATAATTTAATTTATATTTATACGAATATATCACTTGACATGCAATACAACATAATATATACTACATATGTACTTGATCCCAATCATGACAGGGAATTCTGTCTCTTATCTGTAGGTTTTCCTGTTATTCCCTATACACATGCATGTATGCAAGTATGTATGTATGTACTTCTTCGTTTTGCTATTTGATAGCTCTGACAATATTGTGCAGAGAGAAGAGCTATGATGATGTGGGGAAGGAGTTGTGTGTAGGGTCAGCGCCACGATAAAGTTTTTCTTATTGTTTTCCTCTCTCTCTCTTTCAATAACTTAGTCATCGTTACTAATTATGAGCAGCTATCGGATTGGATTGTTTGCTTATACATTTTGTTCCCCCTCATGTGATGATGAATGCTCACCATCTATCAGCGAACTTATTACAAAACATCATTGAAATTATTTACTTAGGATTGAAGTCTGCATTGTTTCAATATCCGTAAGATTGTTAACTCTTTTTCTACTCTGTGTGTTTGTAATTTTAGAAAAATAAATAACAAATATTAGTACTTAATATGGGAGAGTGGATATAAGTATTGGTACAGAACTGAAGATAGGGCTAGCCCTAAACGTTTCTTGCATTCCCTGACATTCACTTTTGTCTCTTTCGCTTGTGCGTCTCGAGCATCATGTGGTAGGAGCAAGCGAGCCACCAACCCTCGGTTGCAATAGAAAAATAAGTTACAGATAAAACTTACTCCTGTTGTTCTACGCTTAGTTAAGGAAGGTTGATTTATAATTACCAACCTGTTGGAGTAGTTTGGTAGATAATCCTACATTTGCCTCCAAGGCGAGGCGAGGCAATCGTAGCAAGCCCACATGCACCCACATATCGAGATCCATTGACCGGGGTAGCGTTTCTGCATGATAATACTATTACTCATCGAAATTCAATAAATGGGCATGCAGCTGCTTTCAAAGATGTGCATACATATGTATGTATGTATCCTACATATGTATCTTACGTTGCTTCGAACTTAAACCGATCAAAATGTATAAGCTGTAGTTTAACTTTTAAATGAACTCATTCTAAGAATATGCAAAGTTGTTCCACAAGTCTTGCAGTTGCGAAATACTCTCTTTTCGGTTGGGTTTCTTTTTTTGCGAAGGAAACGTTTTCGTTTCGTTTCGATTCGTTCGTGTTCGGTCGAATTTCGATTTAACTTCCGCATGGAATGCACTTTCAATACGGGGAGTTATTCACTTTCCCAGTATTCGCTTGTACACGGGCGTGACTCATGCTACATCGGGTCACAATTGGACACCTTCTGTTGCATATGACATTTATTGGTTTGCATTTGGATTTGCATTCCAGATGCGATCACTTCATTTCAGTTTTCAGCCAGGTTTGCTGAATTTTGCCTGGGTCCCCCTTCCCCTTCTTGCGTCTCTACCGTTTTTTTTTTCTTTTGTCTCTTCGGGTTTTTGCGCGACTTTAAGACAAAGAAATGGAACAGAGCCAGCCCGATCACGCCTCGGCCTTTG